TGAGCCACTCGACGGGACTGACTTTGGGAGCCTTACTGCAGCCAGTTGGCGGGAGCCAGAACTTGCAGGTTTAGAGCGCAATAAAGTTCTTGAAGTTCTTCGTATAGGAGCATATGTAGAAGGTGCGCAATGGAGTTTGGAAGACCAGGCGCGTTGCGGAGTTCCTAGTCGTTTCAGGAATATGTGCTATTTTCTGTCTAGTGGTTCGTATTGAATGTGACCTTTTGAAAGTGTGTATGGCTTGGTGTGTTGAACCCAACAAGATGAAGCGAGTGGGACGTGGAGTACCGTTCCTATCAAACTAAATTGGGGGTTCAAGTCTGCAAGCCTGCACCCAAACAACCAGAAAAAAGAGCGGAAGCCTCGGCCCTAAAAGTACCACTGGTCACACAAGAGCAGTAGCCCTGCAGAGCAGCCTGCTAGACGGGGTTTAGGGCTTTGGGGGTTCGGGATTGAGGGTTTAGGGCTTAGTAGGGTCTAGGGGGGGCGGGGGGGGGGGTGGGTGCCAGTGAATAAGTATGCCTTTGGACATCTTGTCAGGTTCTTCGCCTTCTGCAAACTCCAGGTGGATGCTCTCCTAGGCAACTCAGCTGTAAGCAGGGATTGATTGCATGGGGTTGGAGGAGTTGGGCGCGCACTGTTGATGATTGGCGGTGCAGAGTTGGTTTTCTCTCGGTCTATATAGGGCTACCTTATATATTGAATATATTTATATCGTTATTATATAGTAATTACTATATATTAAATATTATATGGACGAGCGGCGCTTGCCACGCTGAGGCTTCTTTTTTCAGATGCTGCAGCATTGGCCGCTATCTTTCTTGGTTCTGCGGGCTCCCACGAGCATGCCGCGCAATCAAAACCCTGTCAACCTCAGTTCGGCTCGGATTGCGAGAAGAAACCGGCAGGCTTACTGCAACTAGATTTTCAGTCTCCGAAAGGCTTGGGCCACGTGCCCGCCGTTGCCCTGTCCGCTGACCCAGCGGCGCTCACGGCGGACCGGCCGCCCGCGCAGCCGGAGGCGAAGAAATCCGGGGATTGCGTCGGTTTTTTTTTCTTCCGTTTCGGGCTTAGGGTTGATATAGGGTCGATCATAGATAGGGGGGGTGGCCCTGCAAGTTTCGGTTTTTTTCGCCGGAGCTTGGGGAGTCAACAGTTGGGGGATGTAGGGCTGCGATTCGGGATGACATGTGGGGCGAGCATGGTTCGTAGACTGCGTGACCTAGAAAAAAGAACGCGCGCACCCAGATGAATTGTCACAAGCAATTGACCCACAACTGCAACCCTGCATCTCGTGCAGCAGCCCAGTGCCCGACATGATTCCACGCGGTCTCGGCAAGGACCCTCAAGTGACAGTCCATGGCATATCAGGTTTTACGTGGGGTTTTAGTGACTTAGTGTTTGTTTCTGCTGTGTTCTAACTGTTTGTGTTGAGTTGGACCCTTAAGACCCGAGCCTTTTTGTCCAAGGCACCCCAGGAACCCGAGCGTGTCCAGTCGGTGAACCCACCGCACCTTTGGCTTAGCGTCTTGCAGGAGTTGAAGGATTCTTGGGTGCCCAGCGCTTCATGTGCAGTCATTGTTGAAGTAGCATGGTGCTTACATTTTGTATGCTTCTCAGGGGCCACATTGATCTGGTGTGCTTCTTCGCCTTGTAGCAAGGGGCTTCATTAAAGTTTTCCGACTCAGCAACACCTTCAAGGAACACGGGTTTGTTCTGGGTTTGCTAGGCTCCCGGGTTTATGCTTTGTTGAAGATGTCAAAGATCCAAGGACTTCGGAGCAGACGCCCCTCCCTGGCGCGGTGCCGCCGCAGCTTTATCGTCACACCAGCGATATTGCCCCCCTGCCTTGGAAGAAGATTGATGCACGAGCTTACTAAGGGGTCGGAATAATTAGTAGTAGTATTTACGGTCCCTCTAATAAACACTCTGTTCTAGTTATCAATTACGGCCCCTACATTACAACATTGTGATTGAGAGGTTTGTAAAGGCTTGAAAGACGGAGTCTGGTATTTCGGGTGAAGCATGGGATTTTGCAGGGGTCTTCGTGAGATGTTTGTTCAGGCGAGGATCGTGTGAAGAGCAGGCCAGAATGTTGGATCCTAAACTTCACCCCGAAATCCCAGCCGCAAGCGCTCTGCCACCAAATTCTGAATTATGCTAGCAGAGCCCCCAAACAGCGAAAGACAGCGACGATGGTACGTCGCAAATGCCAGGGTAGCTCTGCATGCGCAGACTGAGGCGGAAGCGCGATTTCGATCGCGGAATGCGTGCAGGACTTAGGCTGGAAAGCTCCCAATTGCCCGACGCTCCACGACAGAGCGCGGGACTGTGGCAGGAGCGCGAATGCCGCGAGCCAAGACCCAAACGATCCAAAAGCGACAAAAGTTTTGCACTTCACGACAAGCACACATACGGGACCGTGCCTTCGAACAATGCGAACTGCAAAACATCGCCGTATAGAACAGACGCGTGAAGCGGAGCTCTCCAAGAGTCAGAGAGGCAGGGGAAAGTACTATGGGGGTCTGAATAATTAGAATAGGGTTTTGGGGATATTGTAGTAGAATCATATAGGGACCATCAGGGGATACAATTAGTAATTATTCCGACACCTATATTACCTTTCCAAGTTTTCGTGACATGGCGCGACTCAAGATTCCCAAAGTGCACTGGACCAGGGAGCGCGATTTGGACCACTGAATGCGTGCAGGACGTACGCGTGAGTGCCATTTGTGACCTTCGAACCCCATGCGATTTGCGACGAGCTCCACGCCCTCGGCGACATTCGCGGAACTTCCGTGTGCGCTGCGCCAGCACTTTAACCACATATCCTCCTTACCTGTTGCCAGACTATTTGGGGGAAAGACGCCTTCTCTCCCTAACGCTGGACAGCCAAGGTTAGACCCGACGAAATCGAGGAGGACGATCCCAACCTTTGCGCCCTTCTCCCTGCTCCGGAAGCACATTGGTTCCCTCAACCCGAAACCCCAAACCCTAAACCCTAAACCCTAAAGTTTAAACCCCAAACGCTAAACCCTAAAGTTGAAACCCTAAATCCTAAACCCTAAACCCTAAACCCTAGCCCTAAACCCTAAATTACGCTCCTCAACAAGGAGCTCCTGGAGCGCCGCGCGGCCGCCAAGCGCCACGAGGCAGAGGAGGCACGCGCGAAGGCGCGAGCAGAGGTTTAGGGTTTAGGGTTCTGGTTGAGGGTTTAGGGTTTAGGGTTTAGGATTTAGGGTTTAGGGTTTAGGGTTTGGCAAGCTACCACAGGAGCCCTGAAGCAAAAAGGGTTTAGGGTTGATAGGGTTTAGATTTTAGGGTTCACTGTCACAGTTTGCTGGTCAGCACGGTGGATCATATAAATCCTGCATGGTGTAGTGAGACGGGTCCCACGCCCCGGCAGTACCAGACATCTAGTGCATTCCAAGACGAAGTTTGAAATCCCGTCAACAGCAACATAATTGGGTCAGTTCTCATCATGATGGCTCCTATTTGGATAACCGAAGTAATAGGGGCCGCTTTGTAATAGCAACCCCAAAAGGGACCATAGTTTTGAGAACTGAGATTGGGGGCTGGAGTTCTGGGAGCTGGGTATGACAAGCTGGGCTGAGTAAGGTTGCGCAGGACTTCCATCATCAAAACAAGGGCCACCTCATCGTTCAGCATACCCCCCCCCCCCCAATGCGTCTGGTTGAGAGTAGAGGTTGGCAGGCTACGCCAATGTAAGCTCCAGAGTGGCTAGATTCTTCCGGAGGTCAAGGTCTGCAATCTGCAGCCTGAAGCCATTATGTAGGATGGGGATCTATCTCAACCCCAAGAAGAACGAAGTGCCCGAAATAAACCGTAGAACCCGTAAGATTCGTCTAGGTTCCGAGCCCGAAGCCTCAGGGTGTTTATGCTTGGGAGTAAACACCGACAAGCCCACAAGAACCCAACACCTTACCACCCGTGGCATTGGCTGGCGGACCCCAGCCTTTTGCGACCTCGTAGCCTCGAACCCCGTGTGGTGTGTGCAGTGCGGGTGGCAAAAACAGATCGTGGCAAAGGCCCATCGACCAATGCCCCGTAGCCCTTCAAACCGGACCTAATCCGGAGGAAACAAAAAAATCAAAGGAACCTAGTCCTTCTTTCTCCTCTCCCTGCCCTCTCTTCCCTCCCTGCCCTCCCTTCCGTCGCTTCCCTCCTGCCCTCCCTGCCCTCCCCTCCCTGCCCTCCCGGGCCTCCTCTTCCAACCCTTCCCTCTCTGTCCTCTCTCCCTCCCCTCCCTTCCCTCCCTTCCCTCCCTTCCCTCCCTTCCCTCCCTTCCCTCCCTCCTCCCCTCCCTCCCTTCCCTCCCTTCCCTCCCTTCCCTCCTCCCTCCCTTCCCTCCCTCCCTTCCCTCCCTTCCCTCCTTCCTCCCTTCCCTCCCTTCCCTCCCTTCCCTCCCTTCCCCCTCCCTCCCTCCCTTCCTCCCTTCCTTCCCTCCCTTCCCTCCCTTCCCTCCCTTCCCTCTCTTCCCTCCCTTCCCTCCCTTCCCTCTCTGCCCTCTCTTCCCTCCCTCTCCCTGCCAGGCAGAAGTTGAGGAGGCGATTGAGGCCGGGCTGCCCCGGCCGGTGCAGTGAAGTGAGGGCTTTTGGGGTTCAAGGCGTCAGGGTTTGTAAAGCAAATATGGGTGTGGTTCTTTTTGGGGGCGGGTTGGGAAAAGGAGGCCCTGAAGTCGATGACAGGGATGAAGGCCGAAGCGTTTCGCCTTAAACAGCGGCGAGACCCTACGCACTTCGCTGCTACTGCAACCGAGGTTCTTTGCAGTTCCACAGGACTGCCCTAGTCAGTCCCCAAGGTCAGGAGCCCCTCTACTTTGGATGTTTATGATATGAAGCCGCGCGGTCGGTGTTGAAGATCTGAAATCCTTGAGCCCCGAACTACCAGTATCCACAAGCAAAAGGTGCGCGATGCTACTACGTAAGACAAGTCGGCCAGCCGAGCCTGTGTAGGTGCTTGTGGAAGAGGAGCTGGGCATGAACCCTGCCTATGGAGAAGGTGCCAGGGCCATAAATTGCAAGGTTAAGAAATACCAGGTTAAGAATCCCCCCCCAGTATTTATGCTCCCCCCCCCCCCTTCCCAGCTTAAGATTCAATATGGGGTCCGGGCCACATTGGGGATGTTGCAGGTGGGGGGGTGGGGGGAGGGAGGGTCGGGAGTTGCGGCATGGGCTGACTTTTTCTGATACACCGCACAAATACAATCCGGCCTCAACAATCCTCACCCCCTTAGGATTCACGCCACCCACCCCCCCCCAAATCCCACCCTAACCCCTCTCCAATTCCAAAAGGGGCAGACCTCCCCAGAACCGGGGGAAAGGGCGAATGGGTTCATGAGTGTCGCCGTGTTGTAAAGCTTGTTTTGGTCAAATAAGCTGCGCAAACGTAGTCTGCCTGGCAAAAAGCAGCCCGCCACAGCACCCTTGGGAAGGTTATGGCGAGTGGGATTTCCGTGGCCAGCTCCTGCCGAAGGATTCGCAGGGGTTCTCGGGTTTAGGGGTTTGGGGCATCCACAGTTTTGGGGAGTTCCTGACGCATGTTCGCACGGTTAGTGAGACACATGCACGAGGACATGTATCATGCAAAATGCGCTGAGTTGCAGCACTGGCATTCGGACATTTTCAGCACCTTCTCAACAAGTTCTTCCTGGTGGAAACAGTTCGCGCAGTGTGCGTGTCATATGGTTTCCTCGTCACGAGTGCTAGGAGCTTGCGACTTGTGCATTATCCAGTGTTGTGTCTTGTGCCACCAACACTCTGGTGCGCGCTTACAAGCATGCTTCGAGAGGCCTGGATACAAAACCTATATCCCGGTCCCCCTTGGGAATTGTTTTTTTTTTTATTTATTGTTTTTATATAAAACCCAAGAGGATGTTAAACATATTATTGTTATTAAGGTTCCAAGGGGGAGTATAGAAATAGGGTGTTGGGGGCATCCTGCGGGCCAGGGTCCCAGGCGTCAACAAGGCGGATCTGCAGTGGAAACGCTAACAGCAGCTACGGGAGGGGAAGCCGCCCAAGGGTTTAGGGTTTAGGGTTTAGGGTTTAGGGTTTAGGGTTTGAGAAGGAGTTTGGCATTTCCAAACCCTCAGTCGCCAGAGGGAGGGGGGGGTGGAAATGGCAGCCAAACCTCGTGAATGTATGTGGGTGGTTGTCAAAATTATGATCCCTCTTGGGGTACCCTAAATACTAGGTGCCGTATTCTAATAGGGATCCAAAAAAAAGGGGCCATCATTTTGACAACCACCTAATGTGACTGTTGTTCTTGAGCTTTCATGTCCGCCAACGCTCACGGGAATCGGACTGATTTCCTTCGAAACCATGTCTCACCACCTCCTGGGCACTGTGGCCGCTTGCATTTCATTTTGTGCAGCCCCCCCCCCCCCCCCCCCCCCCCCAGAACTAAGGATGCACTTTTTGAAATAGGCAGTTTCTTCGCCGGGCTTGTTCCAGCTTGGGCTTTGCGTGCAGTTGGGCAACAGGTATAGCTACAGGCTAGCCCTAAACCCTAAACCCTACACCCGATAGTTGACGCATGTCTTGACACAGGACACCTTTGCGCTTGGAGCACCTGGGCATCTACAGTGCGTCCACTTGCTAAGTCTTGTTTTTGATGTTTGGGCAAGTCAACTGCGGACCCAGAGCTCCAGCCGAAGCCCTGTGAAACCCCTAAGCCCTAAACCCTAAACCCTAAACCCTATAGGGTTTAGGGTTTAGGGTTTAGGGTTTAGGGTTTAGGGTTTAGGGTTTAGGGTTAGGGAGCAGTCCTTGATAGGGATTATAGTACCCCTTGCTTTGATCCCAATGAATTAAGGACTGCTAGCATAGCGGAAAACATCACAATCCGAAACTGCACCTGCTCTGAGGTGGTGGATCTCATCCCCGAGTCCTGGGGCACCAAGGGCGGCCGCTCGCCTGAAGACCAGCAAGCTGCGAGGGTTTAGGGTTTCGGGTTTGGGGCAAAAAGGGTTTAAGGTTTAGGGTTTAGGGTTTAGGGTTCTATAAAAATGACCAAAACCAGATGTGAGAGCAGATGAAGAGGGTTTCTGATGTTCTGATGGGTTGCTGGAGTAGCACAGGCCCACAGAATGAATCAAGAGTCTTGTGCTGAGCTGGTCGGCCCTGCTAAGCGACAGGGATTTTGCCAGAGCCTGGGATGTTGACAATTAGAGCGATCTGACACTGCAGGTGTGCCCTGCTTGCCTTCCTCAAGAAAGCTTCACAAGAGTCAAAGCCCCAACGCTCCAAAACCCCAGGGGGAGTCGAAACCCTTCTTACCTTAGGGGTGGCAAGTACTACAAGTGCCAGTTGTGAGAGCGCAGGCCCTAAAACTCCGAAGGAGGGGTTGCAAGGGGCTGGGCCTGGCACATGAGAGTTTAGCTCCATGGTGCCACCCTAAACCCTAAACCCTAAGCCCTAAACCCTAAACCCTAGGCAAAAACTTCCTCCTCTTCGATGCTCGGGCTGGCCTGGCGGTACAGCGAGTCCAGCTCCACGGCTTTCTCTCTTGGTTTTTCTCAGTATGCTTTGAAATTTGAGGGGCGCATGGGTGCGAAAAAAGTAGGGTTTAGGGTTTAGGGTTTAGGGTTTAGGGTTTAGGGTTTAGGGTTTAGGGTTTAGGGGTTTAGGGTTTAGGGTTTAGGGTTTAGGGTTTACCTGAGGGTTTTTTGACACTTGTTGGTGTGTTGGAGTCATTGCCCAGAAGTTCCCAAAGGCTCGCGCCGAATGGAAACTCAGACCGCCGCATCAACAAGTATTCGCTGACCATGTGGTTCCGCGTCCCAATGCTTCCGTCCAAGGCAACAGGGTTTAGGGTTTAGGAGTTTGGGAGTTTAGGAGTTTAGGAGTTTAGGAGTTTAGGAGTTTAGGAGTTTAGGAGTTTAGGAGTTTAGGAGTTTAGGGCTTAAGGTGGAACAGGGCTTTTGGAGTCATGAGTCGTGGACACAAGAGATGATGCGAGGTATGGCTTTCTAGAGCATGTTTTTTTTCGAGCCTTAACATAGCAAGGTCCATGCTGGCCTTTACAAGAACCCCCAACATCACAGGCCCTCAGCATCAACGATTCTACTGCAGCATGTTCACGTTCCGTGTAGGTTGCTTTCGGGATGGGTGCTTTAGCTATGTAGGTTTCCTCCCTGGCTGTGGGCTTACACGTAGGCCAAAAGAGCGAACGTGCCTGTTTGCCTAACCACCCAGAACTAGACGAGCAGGTCGGCGATGAGGTACCCAGATCTTCCAAAACCCCTTAATTAAGGTATATACCTTAATTCCTAATAAGGATCCTTAGTATAGATTAGGGTATATTCCTTAATTCAGGGGTTTTGATCAACCGGTTACGCTTCGATCCATGCCCTCTTCATTGAGATTCTTGCCCTGCTGTTCTTGGAGGCCGATCGAATGCTGTTGGTGGATATGCCTCGTGGCGAGATGGCGCCCTGTCCACCGTCCACCAAGCGAATTCCGAGCGTGGGGTTTCCCAAAATAGGCGTGCCCCTTTTAAGGGTCCGTGAAAGGGGGTTCTATTCCATTTGGGGGTATAAAAGGGGTGCCCCCCATTTCGGGAAATACCCAGCTGTACTTGATTCAGTTTTGTGTCTCGGGAGTGGGTTTCCCCAAAAAGCCTCATCTTGTTCGACTGTCGGCAGTTCTGTAGTGCACGGCGCTTTGTGCTCTGCGTCTTCAAAGTGGTTGTAGCTCGCAAGCATACCCCAGATCTTCCAAAACCCCTCAATTAAGGTATACACCCTAATTCATAATAAGGATCCTTAGTATAGATTAGGGTATATTCCTTAGTTAAGGGGTTTTGGAAGATCTGGGTAGAGACAACTTGAGAGACACAAATGGTTTTCGACCCCCCAAGCTTTCGGAGAAGAATGCTCCAGGGCTAAGGCCCCATCGTCTGAGTGGCATGTGGGTGGTTGTCAAAATTATGGCCCCGTTTGGGGTCCCTAAATGTAATACGGCACCTAGTATTTCGGGTGTCTCCCTAGACTTTAAACCCTAAACCCTAAGCCTAAACCCTACTTTTGACAACTACCCATGTGTTTCAAAAACTTTGATGCAGCTCTGCATAGCTCTTGAGAATGCAGTCCGCTGTCGATCCAGAGGCCCTAAACCCTAAACCCCAAACCCTAAACCCTAAACCGCTTTTCTCCCCCTCCCTGCCCCGATGGGCCCCCGCTGGTCCTGCAAGAATCTTCAGGTGTGCTGGGGGCCACCCTCAGCCCATGCTTCAAAAGGTTAATAGCTGAGTGAGTACACTTGACACGTTTTGGGATACTATAGTCCCCTATAGAACGGAAAGAGTGCACATTTTTGGGGCTTATGAACTCAGCAACTAAGAAAACATGACTGTTGTTTTTCTTTATTGTTATTGTTATCGTTATGTTAGCATTATTGTTCTAATCTTGATTATTTTTTATTTGCTATTGCTATTGTGATTGTGATTATGCTTATTGTTATTGTTATTGTCATTAGTATGATTATTCTTATTCGAGATTGGGCCACTGTGTGGCCGCGAACGCAGGCCACAGCACCCCCTCCCTTCCAGCATAAAGGACTGAGCGGTTTAGGGTTGAGGGTTCAGGGTTCAGGGTTTAGGGTAAGGATTTGAGTGGAGGAATAAAACTTGGGTTGGAGCTATATAGTGTCCGCAGTTGGGTATTCAAGTCAAGACTTCAGGCCAACAGCAAGTTGCAGAACCCTAAACCCTAAACCCTAAACCCTAAACCCTAAACCCTAAACCCTAAACCCTAAACCCTAAACCCTAAACCCTAAACCCTAAGGCCAACAGCAAGTTCCAGTAAAACCTCGGCACTCAAGCACACTTTCCGACTCCGACCTGAGGCTTGAAAGCTGAACCAGTGAGCCCAAACTCCCAAGCCCTGGACCTCTACTATAGCCCCCCTTTAGGAGATCTTTTGTATTTTATTTATATATAATCCCAAAGGAATAGTTTGATTTTTCCTTAGGGTTCTAAGGGGAGTATTTGAGCGACCATCAAAATTAGCTTTGATTATCGTGGACATCAGTTTATGGTTTGGTGGCTTTTGATCTGCAGAACGATATGGGACACGCAGAAAACGATAACCCCAACATGATGACAACTACATGCGATGTAGGGACTTAGTATGAAATTAGCGGAAGAGCGTTTTGATCTGCAGAACGATATGGAACACGCAGAAAACGATAACCCCAACATCCATGTCCTTCAGCTTAACAAGTAACCCTAAACCCTAAACCCTAAACCCTAAACCATATTGACCGCTGCTCATCTAGTCTAAGGACTCAGAGATGATAGACGAGACCTCCTCGGGGGGTGGCGGCAGCACCCTCTTTGTGTGGAGGGGCGGCGGCCTGGCACGTTTAGGGTTTAGGGTTTAGGGTTTAGGGTTTAGGGTTTAGATATGTTCGGATCCTGAAAATCAAGCCTGGGGGTTTCCGAAAATGAGGGTACCTTCTGGGGGTCCTATTATAAAGGAATCCTACTAGTTGGGGGAGAACCAGAAAGATGGCGGAATGATCCATGATGCTGAGTGCAGGGTTGACAGAACCAGGCTTTGGTTGAATGAGGTGTGTTGGCGCCAGAGGGCTATCACGAGCCCTCGCTGCAGAAGAAGGACACGGATGCTTCCGCTCGCCTGCGCCAGATGGTGACGCCGGGCAGTTGGAGCGAGGGTGCTGACGGTGGGAGGGGATTTTGCAAGAGACTATCTTCTCAGGTTGGCGTCACCAAGCCAAGTTGCACAGAAGGTCATAAAGTTTGGCTGTTCACGGGCTCAGGACTTCGGGTGTCAGACGTAAGCAGGCCAGTGCCCTCAACCATGTCTCACGTGACATTGCAGTACATAGACGCCTCCAGCGTAGTGGACACATGTGGTTCGAGTGCTAGGAGAGGCCTAGTTCCGCGGTTTTCGCCTAGGCACGGCACACTTTTTGGGTCGAAATCACAGTCTCGCATTGCAGCGCCTGTTGTTTGCTCCCGGTCGTTAACACAACACAGCAGACGCATTAAGAGTCGTCCATGCGCGGTTGGCCGCAGGCATCGCTCGGCGTCACAGACGCGTTAAAAGGGAAGGGCGTTTCGATATCGGAGTGCTCGTTAGCTAGCTTTCCGCTGCTTGGGGTCTACTCTACACTGGCATCGTATATTGCAAGACATGGTGCTAGTGCTTCTAGGACACGACACTACAGTACGTACATGCCGGTCATGCACCGTGCACATGGCAGGCTTTACATGCATGGCTCCTTTCGATACATGACATGTACGACGACATTGCACACTGCGTATCACTTCCATACGTTGCATATCTTGCGTTCGCTGCTTTGCACAGCACTTCTTGAGCATTTCAGCAACTTCCATCTCAGCACCTTCCATCTCAGTAAATGCACAGATGCTGCACTCATGGTATGAAGACCTTCATCGCCCGTGCGCACCGCCATGCTAAACCCTAAACCCTAAACCCTAAACCTAAACCCTAAATGTCAGCCTAAACTTGGATCTGCATCACAGCAAGGTGAATGGCGAGTGGCACCTCAAGTTCTCGGGCGCCGAGCACCTTGTCATGAAATGAGGGCTGACGGTCTCATCACAGAAGTGTTGGTTGTCACTGGAGTGTGCTAGAGGTCATTTTTCCGCTACGTTGTGTGTCATTTTTGGTGTTGGGACAGGGATCATTCAGCGGGGACTTGCAGCTGAAGATGCAGGCCGTCTTTTTAGGGTTTAAGGGTTAAGAGTTTGGGGTTTAGGGTTTTCGAATCCGTATGGTCAAAGCACGCAGCCATTCCATTGCGGCCCTGAAACCCCAAAGCGGACCCTAGCCGCAAGCACGCTGGGCTCCGGTGGCTTTGGGGAAGTCCGGCAGTGTCCATGCTGTTTCCCTAAACCCCAAACCCCAAACCCCAAACCCTAAACCCTAAACCCTAAACTTCGAAAACCCTGGGTCTCAGGCACGAGAAGAAGGCCACGGATGCGGGCCGGGTTGAGAGGATGGGAGGTTGGCGGCTTTCATCCTGGCTGCTTCTGAGAGAGGGGGACTAGTGTGACTAGTTGAAGGACTTGATTCCAAACCTCTTCAACTTTAAATCTGCTGTCTAGGAAAGCTTAGAGGAGCTTTTGGTGCTGAGTTTTGAAATTTCTACCAGCGTGTGGGCACCTACTCCCTAAAGATGCTTGAAGTGGCAACGGGGGCCCCGGGAAGCTGAGCCCAAATTAGGAGGCTGAAAAAAAAAAAGTCCACCAAGACCAAGGCAAAAAAAACTGCCCCTACCCGCGGTTTCTACAGTCGAGTTGGGCTCAACCTAGCCCGTTTGGCATCCTTTGGCAGGCTGAGGTGCTGTTGACCATGGAGCCTTCAGGACGCCTGCTTCTGGCCCCATCTCGAGGCAACTATGGAGCCCCACTGGCTGACAACGTGTCAACGTTCCCCTGGTTTGTACGGCATTAGCGTTTGGGGCCTTAGAATAAGACGTTCCCATCCTGATTTGCCTCCTTGCGCGTGGTGCTGTTCCAGCCCTGTGGCTTCTGAACGGTAGCTCCGGGCCGCGTTCCCTCCGCGAGCCCCCAAGTCCCGAGCGTTCGACAATAAGTTCAAACTTTTAAGCACCAAAGATTAGTTGCATCAGTTCCTATTACCATGAACTATTATCGACAATATAGTCTGGATGCCTAGTTACTCCATATGCGATATGCTTGAATAAACACTAAATGGTATTGTTAAGCATCAAGTGCTAAGTGTGACTTGCTACTAAAATGACATATCAAAATCTTGCTACAGCAATTGGCGCGAACGAAGTATTCGTTAGCCATGCAAAGCTACCATGACGAATTTATTTAGCATGTCTGCTTCCGAAGTAATTGTGCAGCGCCAGCGCCATGATCATGATTCAGTCTTGCTATTCCTGGTATCTATCCACCAGCACAACCACTAACATACACTGCGTGATCTGAAGCGATCTACGTGATAGCCTGAGTTGCGGCCTACGATTTGTAACCCTAAACCCTAAACCCTAAACCCTTAACCCTCAACCCTCAACCCTCAACCCTCAACCCTCACCCCTCAACCCTCAACCCTCAACCCTCAACCCTCAACCCTAAGCTACTTCGCGCAGGTGCCGCCTCGAGGAAGCGAGCGGATGGCCAGAACACTCGCCGCCAGAAGCCGATTCATTTTCGGGAGCGAAGGGCGGAGCAGGGTTTAGGGTTTAGGGTTTAGGGCTTAGGGTTTAGGGTATGGGGTTAGGGTATAGGGTTTAGGTTTAGGGTTTCGGGCTTAGGGTTCAGGGATGGTTTTGGGTATAGGGTTTAGGTTCAGGGTTTCGGCCTTAGGGTTTAGGGATGGTTTAGGGTATAGGGTTTAGGTTGAGGGTTTAGGGCTTAGGGTTTAGGGTTTCTTTTTCTTTGTGCAGATTTGCGATGTCCTGGTGTTTCTGCGTTGGTGTGGCCTGGGTGTTCTGGAGCAGAAGGCTCGCAGAAAAGGCAAGTTTGAGATGATCCGCGCAGAAGCTAGCTACGAGGCATCGCCATGCACCAGATGTCAAGGAGGTGTCCATCGAGTCAGCAGTGCAGCAGTGGTAGTCAAGGAGCACGTTGAAATCAAGATCCACACCACACCCGCTGAAGACTTTTGGTGAATGGGCGTTGAAGTCCCCCATGTGATTTGTCGGAGTAGCGTGCCCTTGAGATGCGCTAAACTCTACACCCTCAACCCGAAACCCTTGGACCCTTGAGACAACTCAACAAGGTTTTGGTGTCCGCCTGAAGATGACCCAGGAAGTCCGCGAGTATGTGGACCCTCGGATGCAGTCCTTTAGTGATGGCAGCGCTTGCAGACTTTAGGGTTTAGGGTTTAGGGTTTAGGGTTTAGGGTTTAGGGTTTAGGGTTAGCAACCTTAAGAACTGCGATTGCCTTGCTGAATTCGCGGGTAGCTCAAGTGGTGCTCCACGCCTGAGGAGAACTACTGCGACGGTGTGGTGCCAGAGGAGCGCGCCAGCTCTCTGGTTGGGGGCGCTATGGGCACAAGAGTTTGGGATGTTTAGGTGCAACGCTCCTTAGCATTCTCTTTCTCCGGGTGAAGAGGGATCAGAACTTTGGAGCTTTGGCACGGAAGCCGAACTGGCTGAATCGCTGTTCTTGGCAACAGGGAAATGGGCCCCCAAACGGCAGGGCTACAAGTGATACAAGTGTTTCAGGTGCATGGCTGTAAAGTCTGAGAAGCTAAGTTGTGCCCTGATCCTGGTTCGGCCTTTGGTTTTTTTGGTGGTGGAATGCAAAAGGTAACATGGCCACTGCAGGACTTCCAAGCAGTCGTGGACCACTTCTGGGGCAGTAAGATCCGCCCGGCCTGCAATGTCGCCACGTCTGGCAGGCCTTTGTTGCCACTTCGTAGTCAGCACTCGGCACTTAAGGGTTTCGAACTTCGGCCCAACTAAGCTGCCAGGCTGGATTTGTGGGCTTCAGTTGCTGAAGTAAAAAAACCCATAGGCACGGCCCCTTGGGGGCTGCTTAGGCTGAAGCCCTCCCAAACCCTTCGCAGCTTCTAAGCTTGAACTTGAACATCTATAGCCGAACTTGAGCATGCTTCGGGTCGAGGAATTAGATAAAGAGAGTGGCCCGGAAACCCCCGCACGCCGATTACCTCGAAAAATAGATGAGTTTGCATATTACATCTAGAAATAGACGGCTGATACAGCCGTCATTAGCGAAATCGCTAATCACGGCTGTATCGCGGGCTATATAGCGGAATATGAACAAGGAGGCAACCGAACACGGGGCGGAACCGCAAAACTCTCATGAAATTAGATCCCCACAGCCTGCTGGGTGTTCTTTGAAGGTCGTGGGCCGAGATTGGATGGCCAGGCAGTGCGCTCCGTTGGGGGGGGGGGGGGGTTGGGCTTACTGCGTTCGGATGGAGGGCTGCTTGTGCGATCCCTCTGAAGTCATAGAGCAAAGTTTCGGGTCAACGAAGAAGGTGGCGCAAAGCCATCCAGCTGGAAGCAATGGAAGCAGAAGCAGCAAACGCAAGACAGCGTGCCAAGCAGCCAAAACATCAGCGCACGGCATTCGTGTCTCCACGATCACGATTTTTTTTGAGCACCGTCTCCCTGACTTCGGCCCAGACGACATCGGATGCAGAAAGCAGGCGCTCTAGAAGGCAAGAGATCATTTGCCCATCGTTAGATAAACGAGTCTGGCGGTTGCAGCCACCACTATGTGAAGATGTGGTTGAATCTCCCTGCATTTTTCTTAACCATCTGATTTTGCTGCCTGTCTGCGAACGCCGGTGCGTGATGCTCCGATTCGGAACACGAATACGCACATGACGCGGCAAGAAGCTGCGACAACGCATAGCAAAGGGGCCCGACTTCGGAGCCAGGTGCCTACTTGTTCACACCCCCGCCTCGGAGACTGCCTCGGGCATAATCTCGGGTAGCACACTTGCGGAAAGACGGCATCCGGGTGCAGTTCCTGAATCCGTCTCAGGTGGTCACACAAAATCTCAGAGCGCAGAACTACTCAGGCAAACGGGTTGTAAGGCTTGGGTGTCAGGGTTTAGTTAGGGCCGGATGACGATGCAGCCATATGTGCCCACCTTGAAGCGGGTTGCAGCCAGCCTGTCACTTTTCACCGGGGGGTGTGGGAGGGAGGGGGGGGGGAATTGGCGGGAGATGGCACGCATCATTGCCATGAGTGTCCTGATGACCGCTGCGCTCTCGGCGTGACCCCCGCACTGCGATGCCGAGCGTGTGGGGTGTGGAGTGTGGAGTCTCTCTTGCTTCAGTGATCTCCTGAAGCTGCCAGAATTTTCGCCGAAACCTCAGAGGGAGCCCAAAGAAAACTCGTGAATGACCCTAGAACCCGCTCTAGGACTCCGACTGTGGGCCTGTGCGTTTAAGTCTTCAAGAAATTAGGGTTCGGGGTCTGTAATACTGCAGGGTTTGGGGCCGTAAGAGAGCCCTCTGGCAAAACAAGGTTTCAGGGCTCAGGGCCCCCAACCTTGCCTCCAGGAAGCCAAAACCAATGCAAGCGGCGGGCGATGAAGGACCTCAAGAGTCGTGGCGACGTCCTGGTCGCTCGAGGCACCGAAGCTGCAGGGGACTACGTCTAACGTGCTTCAAATCACCCTAGTCCCCTAAACCCTAATCCCCTAAACCCGAATCCCCTAAACCCTAAACCCTAAACCCTAAACCCTAAACCCTAAACCCTAAACCCTAAACCCTAAACCCTAAACCCTAAACCCTAAACCCTAACAGGGGTAAGCCTGGTGAGCCTGGAGTCGAAGGCATCCCTTGAACAACGTTTTCCCCCTCCAAAACCCCACAGGTCTCAACCCCGAAGCCTGAAAAAGCCTGGTGACTGACGAGAAACTCCTGGCATGCGATCTGGGGTTTAGGGTTTAGGGTTTAGGGTTTAGGGTTTAGGGTTTAGGGTTTAGGGTTTAGGGTTTAGGGTTTAGGGGTTGAACAGCTGAGTCGCTCATTATTCGTCACACTGATCCCCGAAAATTTTTGAGAGCTATTGCATGTGGGTTGCCTCATGTTGCCTCACTTCCCTCGAGGCACCCAGTCCTCAGCAAGCTCTCTTAAACATCTCCGAAAAGTTCTAGAGAACTTCAGGGCGTGTTACTGATCCCAACCTCAGAAAAGTTGAGGCCTTCCCGCCCTGGATGCCCTCCGGATCGCGAGATCCTTGAGCCTTCGACTTCTTGGACTGCTCGTTTTGACACGTGCTGCCTGTGTCTCATAGCACGTGGTGCCGCGAACCTGAACCCAGCAGCTCCTAAGCTCTGCAACTTGTGCGAGAACTGCGCTTGAAATCCTAAACCCGGAGCTACAGTGAGAGGCTGGCCGCTGCAGGCCCCTCACCACGGGCATTCTGCACTGCTAAGTAGAACAGTTAGACTACGTCATGCGCACTCCTGGCACCAAACGACCGGGGAATGACCGCGCCATGAATAACCAAGGGCTTCCAAAACCCCTTAATTAAAATATAACCTAGTTTATACTAAGGATCCTTATTATGAATTAGGGTATATGCCTTAATTGAGGGGTTTTGGAAGATCTCGGTAACCAAGGGCTTCACCCAAAGCAAAAAGCCCCTGAACGCAACATTTCTGGAAAGCGTGCTGCTTGGATTGGGCCCAGTGTCAGGCAGTTGCTCTGACTTTCGCGCATGTAGCAGCCATAGGCCACTTGAAGGGTATAGAGTTTGTAGGGCAAGCAACCCAGTCCCTCCAAAACCTACTGCAAAGCTACACCTTAAGGCGCTCCGAGGGTTTAGGCACCAAGCCGGACCGCCGAGGAAGGAGTTCTCGCAGGCTGGGGCCGAATTTGTGGAGGACAAGTCGATGGAAACAGAGATCAAGACAGGCCGGGCCGAGCTGTTTGCAAAGGAGTCGTGGTGTTGCATCTAGTGAGACTCTAGGCTCTGAAGCTTTATTCCACCAACATCACAACGGCATAGTTTCCGCTGCAAGCTGTCGCGATTTAGGAGGAGCTCAGCAGCCTGCAACACACACGTGTCCTTCGGAACTCAACAGTGAACTTTGCACAAGATGAGCCGTGGCAAAGGCGATATGGTCCAGAAAGTGACCCTCGGCTTATAGTGATGGCTGCACGCGCCGACGCCCTGTGGTGTGCCGGGCAACTCCAAGCCGCCTTGGTTTAGGGTTTAGGGTTTAGGGTTTAGGGTTTAGGGTTTAGGGTTTAGGGTTTAGGGTTTAGGGTTTAGGGTTTAGGGTTTAGGGTTTCAGTCCCCTTATATCATCCTTGAAGTCAGCCTCGGAGCTCAAACTACTCAGTCTCGAAGCCTTTGAAGCTCTCACCCCCCTGCTGTACTTGCATCAGACCGGCTACGACTTGCTATGGCTACGCCTTCCCGATCATTTTCTGAGAAGATTTCCATCTCAAGTGCCTTACTTACACAACGCTGAAGCCCGAAAGCAGAAGCCATGCCCAATAATCCCATCCAAAAATCTCGCCAAAGCTTCAGCGCGCAACGCGCGCTCTCCCAGCACCCAGGTCCAAGGGCCCCGTCGTTCAGCCTGCCGACAGCGGGCACCTGTGCTCATGCGAGTCGATTGTAGGGTTTAGGGTTTAGGGGTTTAGGGTTTAGGGTTTAGGGTTTAGGGTTTAGGTTTAGGGTTCATGTACTTTGGGCAGTGTGCAGTCGGGTCTTCTGACCTGCTTAGGGCGGCCACTTCATATGGGTAGTTGGGAGCTTAAGTTTAGCTTTAGGAAACCTAAAGCTCAAGCCCAAAAAGTTTTGGGCTTCAGCGTTTTGGGACTTTGCGCTGATCTTCGGTTTGGGTCTTGGGGTTTCAGGTTTTTGGGTGTTGCACTTCTCTTCGGGTTTGGGTTTAGGGGCTTGGGATTTGGGACGTTGCACTGGTCGTCTCTTTGAAGTCCCACTCCCGCCCCCACTCCCCCACTCCCACTCCCACTCCTCCCACTCCTCCCACTCCTCCCACTCCTCCCACCACTCCTCGAACTCCTCCCACTCATCCCACTCCTCCTCCTGGGACTCATCAGACTCCTCCTCATCAGAACTCCTCCTCCTTCCGCCTTCTCCTCCTCCTCCTCCTCCTCCTCCTTCCCTCCTCCTCCTCCTCCTCCTCCTCCTCCTCCTCCTCCTCCTCCTCCTCCTCCTCCTCCTCCTCCTCCTCCTCCTCCTCCTCCTCCTCCTCCTCCTCCTCCTCCCACTCCTCCTCTTCCTTCTCCTGCAGGTTATTCACGGGCTTCGGATTGTTCGGAGGCGGCGTTGGCTTGGAGGACGGGGAGGCCATCCACCTTCAAAATCGATCGGGTCGGTTGTCACGCTTCTGGGTTGCTAACCCCTTAAAGCCCTGAACCCTAAAACCCTAAAGCCCCAAGCCTGTGCTTTGGGGAGCCTCTGTGAAAAAATCGTCCCTTGGGCCAGGCTGGCAAAGTCACCAACGTCAACTACAACCGCGGCCAGGTGCACGCAGGGGGCCCTGGAGGATGGCGATTTAAGGGTTTAGGGTTGAGAGTTTAGGGTTTAGGGTTTAGGGTTAGGGTTTCGGATCTTTATTCCGCACACTCCGAACCCTCAAACGCACGCGCATGCACCTTGACCCTGTCATATGTTTGTGCTTCAGCTGGCTGCCTTCACGTGAATATTTGGTTTGCCGGTGGTCTGGGGAGAGAGGAAAATGAGGAGGGTCCATGCCTGCGTTGCGAACTCCTTGCGCTTGGACAGTAGCTTAGAGCTTGCTTCGCCACCTTCTCACTGCTGCTCGTGCTAGCCGTGATCTTCTCAGCTACCCTAAACCCTAAACCCTAAACCCCAAACCCCTAAACCCTGCCCGGATTGGCCGGCTGTCGCCCCCGAAATGAATCATGAGACAGGAGCCGGCGAGTGCCTTTGCACCTAAGCCACCCTAAACCCTAAACCCTCATCACTCATGACCCTCATCACCCTGATTACCCTCATTACCCCTCATGACCCTGATCACCCTCATAGTCTGAACCCTAAACCCTAAACCCTAAACCCTAAACCCTGAATCCTCAAGTGGGTCGCAGAGCCCAGGTCGAGGGCAAACGCGGCGGCAAATGGTACGGCGAGGACGAAGTGGTCAAAGTCGCAACCCAGATGCAAAGAAGGCGAACGTGTGTCGGGTTGTTGGCTTCTTCTATTTTTGCATGTCTTTGGTTCGACTTGTGACCATAGCTTCTACCGACTCGGACCATTTGCTGCACGATTTCTGGGGCTATGCAAGCTCGACTTGCGCGAGCATCCTGGTTAAGCCCCGCAGTCCCAGCCCCTGCACAGAGCGTGGAACCCGCAAGGAACCTTTATAGGGCAAAAGCATGCAAGAAAGCCCTTGCTGGGCACATTGGGGACCCTAAACCCTAAACCCTGTGGCAAAAAACCCTAAACCCTAAACCCTAAACTATCATTGAGATCTCAACCTTTCCTTTGGATGTCCTGTCGGATCGGCTGGTGAATTGGGATGCCGCCCTGTAGTTCCAATACTGCTGGGGGATGGTCCCGATGATGTGCTGGTTCACAGTGCAGTCGCGCTCAGTTGCTCAGACTCAGAGATCGCGCCGAGTAAGCCCTAAGCCCATGCAAAGTTGAGCGAAGGGCCGGTTTTGGTTCACAACCTGCTGAAAGCCTGAGCCCCCTGTTCGGAGTCGCAGGCGCTGCATGCACTCTTTGCAAGTTACAACAGGGTGTAGGGTTTAGGGTTTAGGGTTTAGGGTTTAGGGTTTAGGGTTTAGGGTTTAGGGTACCAGGGCTTCACAACTCGTTTTGTCATATTCGCAGCTGGAGGGTGCAATCGCGATAGCCTTGTTCCACAGACGGCAGGGCTTCATCCATATGACAGCCTGTGGGATACCCAGAAATCCTCGCGAATGCCTCCTGAATCACACGCTGACCCGCTGTAAGCTCACGAGACCTCTGCGTGTAAGGATCCGAAAGCGCTGGGCCTGGTCCCTCTAACAGACTCTGAGTGGGCAGGCAGTGCAGGGTTCAAATAGGCTGGTTCGTCAAGGTTTGCGATAGCTTCGCCATTTGCGTTGTAGGTGCAAAGGCTCGCAGGGGCTTGAGGGACAGAGCTTTAGCAGTAGCATGCAGAGGTTCGCAAGAAGATGCAAGCAGAGGTCTGCAGGGGAGTGGGGGGCCGCCAAAAGGCCCAAGCAGAAGCCCAAACTAGCTTGAACCCCAAAGCCTAAGTTCAAACTTAAGCCCCAAGGCCTAGTGCATGGTTTCATATTCCGTGGGGTTTCCCCGCCCGCGAAGCCGCCAAGCCTGCAGCCCGAAGCATCACAAGATGGGCGCAGGATGGGACGTGGTTGGACATTGGGCATGCTTTCGACAACTTAGGGTGTTTTCGTTGGAGCGGGTTTAGGGGTTCGGGTTCAACCATGCCTCCGTAGTTTGGGGCTAGGGCTTTGACAGAACGGCGTGCAAGTCCTTCCTGTACCTGGTTCATGACCCTAAACCGTAAACCGTAAACCCTAAACCCTAAACCCTAAACCCTAAACCCTAAACCCTAAACCCTAAACCCTAAACCCTAAACCCAGGAGTGAAAAAAAAAACCCTAAACCCTAAACCCTACCCTAAACCATGGTTTCAGCTGATTCAGAAGTACCTCCTTCAAGCGTGAAAGGCTTGGCATCAACTCGGGCCAACTACGTGTCCTTCTCGTTGCTTCGACGGCATCTTTCAGTCTTCTCAAGTGCCAAACCCTAAACCCTAAACCCTAGACCCTAGACCCTAAACCCTAAACCCTAAACCCTAAACCCTAAACCCTAAACCCTAAACCCTAAACCCTAAACCCTAAACCTAAACCCTTTAGAGTCCATAGTGCCATGGCTCCACTTGTTGAATTAGGGGCGGGGGGGTGGGGGGGAGGGGGTGGTGTCCAGGTTCACCGGAGGCAACACAGACAAATCAAGACAAGCCACAGCATGATGGTGAACATTTGTTGATCTTTCATGAGTTTTTCTGTGTCCTGAGTTTTCGGGACTTTCCAAAAGGCAGCCCGGCCTTGCTAAGTAACTCCGCATTGCGTTCAGTCTCCTGGAAACCCTCAAGCTTGAATCTGAGTTTGTTCTTCCGAGCCTCTCAGCCGTCTTCAAGCCTAATAGACCCTAGCAGCGGGTGACCCGAAAGCCAGAAGTGCAAGAGCACCCTGTAGCTACTGCACTGGGAATATTAATCTTGTTGCAGCAAGCCAACCAACGTCAAGAAACTGCCTTCGAGGCCCCCGGATCTCCGTGTGTCCTCTGCACAATGCATGTTTACTGCACACCCAGATCTTCCAAAACCCCTTAATGAAGGAATATACCCTAATTTATACTAAGGATCCTTCTTATGAATTAGGGTATATTCCTTAATTAAGGGGTTTTGGAAGGTCTGGGCAGTTGACTGTCGGGCCACTGTTCGGAACCAGGACGCAAAGACCAAAAACGCACGACGGCAGTTCTGTACTTCACAAGCAGAACACGCGTGGGACTGGCACAGCCCTGGCAATCTCCCGGCGAAGCACTGTGTCGAACACCGTGAACTGCAAATCCCTTTGCACCAGCCGCTCGGAGCGACCTCGTCTACGAGCCGGCAAGGTCACAAATATGCATCCCTGCCACGCTAACCTTACTATTACTGTTGGTTAGTAGGGAATGGGGGAATGAGTTACCCTATGTGATTTTTAATCCCTTAACGGGTTTATACAGGGCCCTAATTCCCTCATTCCCGCTAACCAACAGTAAGTAACGCGGCCCCGCGCGAGGCGAAATTGGTACCGAGGCAGGAGCACAGTTTGGCACCAACGATGGCTCACAAACCTTTTCTGCGAGGCGAAATTGGATACGATTAGCTCGGTAGGCCCTTTGGACATTTTTGTATTTTCTCCCCTATTGGGTTTAAGAGCATCATATTCGGAAATGTTTTTTCAGAGGGTTTAAGGGTCATCCTAGTCAATGACGGGGCCAAGAATTCGGGGAGCTAGCGGGACCTCGGGCGACAGCACGATATCGACCCACGCCGGGTTTAGGGTTTAGGGTTTAGGGTTTAGGGTTTAGGGTTTAGGGTAATTTAGTCCTCTCGATTGTAGAACAGAGCCAAGTAGAGAAAGCAAACCCCAAACAATCCTGCCTACAAAGCCACAGCGGCGCATGGCGGCGCCTTGCAAGCGCACCGAGACTCGAAACCCTGCATACTTAGCCACTAGTTGAACTTTAAACGTCTTGGATCCTTATGTAGTAGGAAAAATAAAGTTGTTAACCTTCTTTTCCCCTTGGTTGTTGGAGAAGTAAGCCTTGAGGCAGCAGCTTCCGAACCCTTTGATGGAGGCCGGCTGGCAGGGCAAAGGCCGGGCCGAGAAGGCGGCGGAGACGAGCTCGGCCGAGGTGCGGGGACAAAACTTGGCAAAAACCATGGCAAACCTTAGGGTTTAGGGGTTTAGGGTTCAGGGTTCCATCTCATCATACACTTGTTCAAAAGTGTATCACAGAAAATGCTATACTATAAGTATAGGGCCTGAAGAATTCCAAGGGACCATAAGGGACATGCTGATCCCCCCCAAAGTGCCTACAGGCACCATGAATTGGGAGAGTTGAGTTCAAGGTAAGGGTGGTTAAGCAGCTGAATGTGTTTTACATGCAGTAGGCTAAAAACACTAAAAACCCTAAAAACCCTAAAAACTCTAAAACCCTAAAAACCCTAAAAACCCTAAACACCCTAAACCCTAAACCGTGGGACACCAGGGCATGAGTTCAAAAGGTTCCTCCCCAACCCCTGGAGGTGGACCTCAACTTCGACGTGGTGGCGGCAGGGTTCACTTGCCCAGCATAGGACTAGGGCCTAGGGTTTTAGGGTTTAGGGTTCAGGGTTTAGGGTTTAGGGTTTAGGGTTTAGGGTTTAGGGGTTTAGGGGTTTAGGGGTTTAGGGGTTTAGGGGTTTAGGGGTTTAGGGGTTTAGGGTTTTTAGCCAACCCAGTAAAGAGAAGCCAGGAAGCTGAAGGTTTCAGTGTGAGGACAGCAGTGTCAGGACTTAGGGATTTGGTCGGCCTGACGGTTTATTTAGGGGTTCTGTAGGGTATATAGGGACTTTATGCCTTATATATAGGGTTTATATAGGGGAAGAACAAGAAACAGCCAGAGGATTTGCACATGTTTGGATGCATTTTGCACCTTGGGGCAGAGAACCTCAAAACCTTGAGGCCCCTGCTCCACTGACATGGGTTTAGGGTTTAGGGTTTAGGGTTTAGGGTTTAGGGTTTAGGGCACTTGAGGTTCATGTCATCCTACGTGGATGCCCATGTGGCCTATGCGGAGTCCGGCCTGGAGATCACAGGCTGCGGAATGCCCAGCCAGCCAGAAACCTGAAGCCTGAATCCAAGCCTAAACCCCAAAAGTCAGGGCCTTTCCTTGGGGACCAAACGAACCCTTGTGATTCAAATGCCTTAATAGCAAATATAGTATAGTGCATATGACCTGCAGGGTTTATTGCATTTGCGATTGAGGGATGCTGGTTCTGGCTGGCGACGCGTCCTGGGAGTGATTTTTGATGCGGGCCAGATTCTGACCTGTCCAGCCCCGGACACTGGAGCTTCAACGGAACTTCAACTTCAAGAATGTGAAGCACGTACGCACGTTCTGAACTCCAGACCGAGAAACCTTCCCAAAACTTTGTGCGTTTGTCCGCACATGACGCACATGTTTTTTGGGGGACTAGCACGACATTCTGGTCACCTCAACCCCAGAGCCCAGATGGTCAAGGACGATGCCGCAGCCCAAGCAAAGCCTAATCCGGGAGGACAGTGGCGGACCGCAGACGGATCGGCCGGCACAGTGACCGGAACTAAAGCGCTTGCGGGCCTGGCATTGGGCGGGCTCTGGCAACCTAACTGGATGTGGAGGGTAGAACTGGTAGGGTTTGTCTGCAGACCATGTAGAAGATGACTTGGCAAGGGCTTGTGGATTCAGAGGCATGGCATATGGAATTTGTGCTTGAGGATCGCTTCGGGAATCCACATGTACATCGCAACGTCCCTAGATTCTTCAGCTTGTGTGTTTTGACTCGCGTGCTTCATGCACCACTGGCTCCCGCAAGTGATAGCCAGGTCTTTGTGATTGCACGTTAACAACGATAGATGATGGTTCTAGGCATCTCCACAAGGAGTGATGGGCTTTTTGGCTTCTGTTTTTCCAATTATTGCCTGCTGGCAGATGTGCTTTTGTTGCACCAGTTCCTCTCCTGCCCGAAAGCGCAATCTTAAGTCCAACATCCTGAAACGCCAAAGGCCTTGGGTTTCGGGTTTAGGGTTTAGGGTTTAGGGTTTGGGGTTTAGGGTTTAGGGTTTAGGGTTGCAACCTAGGCACTTGGAGCTGCAAACTGGAGCTGATTCCATGCAGCACGCCTGGAACTGCTGGTTCTCCTGCTTCTTGGATTGAGGGTGGGCATGACAGGGAAACCCTAAACCCTAAACCCTAAACCCCTAAACCCTAAACCCTAGTAGCGGTCAGGTGAGTCGGATCTCATCGCCGCCGCATTGCCCATTGCTTTGTTCATTTCGTCTTTGCTTAACTGGGTAGCCCCTTTTCTTTTTGGGTTTTGGTTCCCTTGCTAGCCCCTTTAAACCAAAAGGGGCACCTTTCTTATTCCTAGGCTACTCTCGGCGCGGTTGACCCACTGCGGGGCTTTTTCCCGCTAAGCTGGAGAAGAAATCTGGCGCCCTGAAGGAAATTCCCCGGGGCGCCCCAAACAAATTTCGGGGCCTGCAAGGTCTGGCCGGTTAAAGCCTCAGGCGTTTGGGGCCTCAAGGCCTGAAGCTTTCCTGCCTTCCTGAGATGAAGCAAGAGGACTCACAGCCTGAAACTTTTCGATATTAGCGGATGTGTTAGGGTTTAGGGTTTAGGGTTTAGGGCAAGCCTATTCACCGGAGTCAGGCCAAGGCAAGCTCCGGGCTAAGTCAAGTCCCTCAATCCTGAAGCCTTCAGGGGGGCCTGTCTTCTTTTGCCAGCCAAAGGTCCATCTGCAGCGAACTGAAAACATCCTCACCCCAAAAAAATCTTGATTATAGCGGGAGGCCCCAACAAACTCAGAAATTGGATGGGCTCCGAAAACTTTAGGTCAGTATGGGTCGATAAAGCAAAGCGGCCGCAACAGTACAGCCTGACCGGAGCCTCGGCTGACAGTCGCGTTGCAACAAAATGTGTGTGTGTGCGGTGCACAATCATAGAGCTGGTCTTGCGCATCGCTTGCTGAGTCGCGAGCTCATAGTCACCCTAAACCCTAAACCCTAAACCCTAAACCCTAAACCCTAAACCCTTGCGGGAGAGAGAAAAACCCTAAACCCTCTGTTCCCTGGGACTACGCAAGGTTTCCCACCGAGCTCCGGCGGCAACACCTCGATGATTCGCGTGTCAGGCTCCTTGCCTTGCTTCGCCTCGAATCTTGAAGACGCGTAGAAAGGTTTCTTTTTTGAGTCTGCAAGCCTTTCGGTTTGAGATTTTGGCCGTGAGCTTTCAGCCAGAGAGTAGAATCAGGACTACGATCTTCAGACTGCCTGTTGATGCGGATTTTTATAAGGGGGCACCCCTCAACCCTGAACCCTAAACCAGAAACCCTAAACCCTAAACCCTAAACCCTAAAAACTTAACCCCAAACCCTAAACCCCCCTCTGCACTTTGAGTGAGCCTCCCGGCCTAGGCTCAGCCTTGGCAGGGCCCCTGCTACAGGACTTTTTGTGGGATTCTGCCCTTGGGGCGGCTTTCGGAGGTTTAGGGTTTAGGGTTTAGGGTTTAGGGTTTAGGGTTTAGGGTTTAGGGGAGCTGGCTTGCCTTCAGTCCAGTGGCAAAAAGGGTTTAGGGTTTAGGGTTTAGGGATTCTAGGCTTAAGGTTCGGGGCAGAAAGCTGAGTTTCGTGGGGCTTCTAGAGCTTCGGGCCCAAGATTATGTAGCAGAAGAGTGCCGGCAAAGAGTGGGACACCAGACCTTTTCATGGCCTTTGTGGTACTTTACTGTAACTTTACATCTTTAGCCTTTTTGGGTTTATAGGGTTTCTTAATAAGGCAGCTAAAAATTAGATTTTTAGCTACCCTGCTAAGTGCAGCCGAGTGGCGTGGCAGCAGACAGGAGGGATCTTCGCCGGAGAATGCCCCGCCGGCACTGCAGATTGGTGGTGAGATGAGTGGGAAAGGCATCGTGTGACTGGGATGCATGGAACTGCATAGACCGCCTGTTCATGACCGGAAGTTCTAGCTCGGGGGGGGGGGGGGGGCGCTCAGCTAGAGTCGCCTGAGTATCAGTATCACCCAGAAATACGGGTGACTTTTCCCTTCCACGTAAGCCCCACCTCCTTGCCTTCTCCTCTCCTCTCCTCCCTTCCTTCCTTGAACCCGTGGGCTAGATGCGGGCATCCTGGAGATGAGCGCACGCGCACACACACACACACACACACACCGCCTTCCCGAGCCTGCATGCTGCATCTCAAAACCCTTCACCCGGAACTCCAAAACCATCTACGGCATGCACAACCTATTTTTGTACGGAGGCGCAGCTTATCAAGGGGGAGTCGATTGTCGGATCTGCGTTGTCAGTGCTGGCCTTCACGCAGGTGACGTGTGATTAAGCAGTGGTTCTGAACCAAGGTCGTTCACCTTCTCCGCCACCGCCTAACATGACATACCCCTCCTCTTAAAGCTATAATATGACTACAATTGCGGGTGTGTAATATTAGGGGGTAGGGGGGTTTAATAACAGCAGTAGTTGTGAACCAAGGTCGTTCACCTTCTCTGCCTTGGAGGACAGCCTCCCTCTCTTGGCTGGCTTGAGTGCCGAGAATTGGATTGGCTCCACATGGGAAGGCGCAGTTGCTTTCATCTTGGCGCAGTTGTCACTAAACACAGAGCTTGGGGCTAGTGTCCGATGTTGCTGGGCCCCTTGACAGCGCAAGGCCCCCGGACCTCTCATGATCCCTAAACCACATATCCCTAAGCCCTTACAACCCTTAACCCTTATAACTTATATCCCTAAACCCTTAACCCTTAAACCCTAATTACCCTAAACCCTAAACCCTGAATCCTTTAAGCACTAGGTGAGCTGGGCCCAGATCGCTGGCTCCGCGGCTCATGGCGCAAGGCCGAGTTCTGCCCAGAGCATGTTGTGTTTGAAGGTTACGAAGCTAGGGGACCCCCAAAAAAAGGGTTTGGGTTTAGGGTTTAGGGTTTAGGGTTTAGGGTTTAGGGTTTGGGGTTTAGGTTTTAGGTTTTAGGGTTTAGGGTTTAGGGTTTAGGATTTAGGGTTTAGGGTTTAGGAGGACGTTTGGGGTCCAGGTGGAGGGAGGGGGGCGGGAAGGGGGGCGGGGGGGAGGGGCAGGGGTGCCTCTGGTGTTTCAAGTTTGCGACTTTGGCCAAAGCTCTTAAAACACTCTCACAGGACTAGGCCAATCAGCAAGACTCAGTTGCAGTTGGACTCTTTGGCTTGGGAGTCTGCCGGCTTCTCGCCGGATTGGTTCAGGCTTACACCCAGCGAGTTCAGGCACAGCCTTGAGCAGCCTTGAACACCCTAAGCCCTAAGCCCACCTTAGAAAGGATCCCGAAAGCCTCTAGAGTGATAGTGGGCCTAGTTTAGGAGAACCTTAAACCTAAACCTTGAACCCTAAACCCTAAACCCTAATAAAAAACAAACCCTAAGCCCTACAAGCCAAAAGCTGTGAGGCGGGCGATGCGGGATCTGGCCGCTGGCGCGCGCGCCACATCGGCCGGGCCGCCGTGCACAACACGCTGAAACCACAGGCGAGCGGGTTTGGGCGTTATCCGGAAAAATGACTCATGGTATTCCCTTATGGTCTCTTTATAATTTTCCTCTAGTCGCCCCCCAAAACCCTGCCCTAATTCTAGACGCCCGTATAGTATCCGAGCTGTGTTTTTACAGTTGGGTTGTGTAGCTTGTCAGCAGGGCCTGAAATCCAACCCCCAAGACGCTCCAAGCAGCCTGAAGCCCGAAGCCATGCTTTGATGGGGGGTCCTGTGGGACACATGCAAATACGTGTTTTCCGTGGTTTCATGCTGGTGTTTTTTCTGCTCTGCTTCAATGGTTTCATGCCCGTTGGCCTCAGAACGAAAGCAAAAAAGTGGCCATAAAGCTGCAACAGCTCGCATGCTTGGAGCCTAGTCAGATGGGCACTCGAGGGGTGTGGTCATGTCATTCTCGGCTCACATATTTTGGCTGACATCCACTGGAGTGCTCTTACTTTCGTCTCGGCCTTCGTGTGTGTGTCGTCTCACTTCCTGGCATACACCAAGCTCCTGCTCAGAAAAGGGTTTCGGGTTCAAAGAGCAGGAGCAGGAGCAGCAAGAGGAGCAGAAGCAAAAGCAGTAGGGTAGTTCCAAACCTTTGCATCCTAAGCGCTATATCCCTCAACTCTAGATCCTAAACCCTAAGCCCTAAACCCGACACCCTAAACTCCTTAACACCCCTTCCATTACGGAGGTCGACTCTGGGGCAGAATGGGAAGCCAAGCGATGCGAGATTCGCACGGCCCCGCCGGACGCCAAGGCAAACCCTTTGGTCCGTCAGGTTTCCTAGGGTTTAGGGTTTAGGGTTTAGGGTTTAGGGTTTAGGGTTTAGGGTTTAGGGTTTAGGGTTTAGGGTCTAGGGTTTAGGGGTTAGGGGCTAGGGGCTTAGGTTTAGGGTTTACCTCACCAAGTACAGTCAGCGCCCTAAAAAGTCTGTGGCCTTTGTAGAGCAACACCTCCCACGCCTTGTCCAGTCCGCCGGCCGCTTGAAGAAGGGGATGAAGGTCAAGCTGCTGCTTGGATGCTGTTTGCAAATGGGGGGTTTAGGGTTTGGGGTTTGGGGTTTGGGGTTTAGGGTTCAAATAGGGGGCCCCCAAAAAAGGTACCCCTAATCTCGGAAACCCCGGCTGCAACTAGTGTGATTTTGCTCTTGGTGGCATCAGAGAACAAGTAGCCAGAGCTGAATGATGGAATGAGACCCTGATTGAAAACAAGTCTAAACGCTCTCACAAAGGGGCAGTAGCAATCCCGACTCCCGACGGAGTTTTTTGCAGATGTCATAGGTCAGAGTTGCCCTAAACCCTAAACCTTAAACCCTAAACCCTAAACCCATGAGGGCTTGGAGAACGGCCGAGAAGGGGCCATGATGAAGCGGCTCAGGTCGAAACTCTACAAGACCTGCAGCGATGCCCCGCCGCTTGGGGGTTTAGGGTTTAGGGTTTAGGGTTTAAGGTTTAGGGTTTAGGGTTTAGGGATTAGGGTTTAGGGTTTACTCAAGAAACTTCTCCTGGCACCCAACACTGTTTGTCAGAAGAACCTCCGCCAGAGCCGCCCTGACGTTTGCATACACCCTAAACCCTAAACCCTAAATCCTAAACCCTAAACCCTAAACCCCAAACCCTAAACGTGTCGTGATTTGCTCTGACTTGAGGTTTGGACCCTTGCCCCTTGGCAGCAAGCTGTGGCTGCTGGTTCATGGGCCTGACACCCCAAGCCCCATCGACTCTTTCCTAAGGCCTAAACCCTAAACCCTAAACCCTAAACCCTAAACCCTAAACCCTAAACCCTAAACCCTAAACCCTAAACCCTAAACCCTAAACCCTAAACCTTCGAGATCTTACAAGTTCAAAGGTGCACTCATCAAGGGACTCAGGGAGGGACCCTCGTGGGCCTTAGGGGTGATTTAGGGCTTATATAGTGAAGGGAAAAAAGATGAGGGTCCCTCCCTCCTTATACCCCTTGAACTCAGGATTTGAGAAGTTTGACCCTAAACCCTGGACCCTGGACCCTGAACCCTGAACCCTGAACCCTGAACCCTAAACCCTAAACCCTAAACCCTAAACCCTAAACCCTAAACCCTAAACCCTAAACCCTAAACCCTAAACCCTAAACCCTAAACCCAAGCCTGGAGTTCTTGAGGAAGGAAGGCCAAGTTGGCGAAATCATTCAGGACACCACGGGGAGAGGAGGTGAGGGTTTAGGGTTTAGGGTTTAGGGTTTAGGGTTTGGGGTTTGGGGTTTGGGGGTTAGGGCTAGGGTTTAGGGTTTAGGGTTTAGGGGCGGGCTTCCGAATTATTACTTGGACTCTTTGCGTCCTCTGGCTGAGTGTTCGATCTGGCGTGGACGCAGGGTTGTGGCTCATCGCTAGAGGGCGGCATCTCGCGGATAACGTTACATTGGAGGGAACTATCCCAACGAAGTATTGGTTGCTGCCTCTTGATCTTACAGCTCCATCAATAGTGGCCTTGCACGATTTGCTGAACACAAAGCGAGTCGGGATCCTTGTTAGAGTTGAGGGTTAGCGTTTCGGGATAGAAGCGATAACTATTACTCCTAGTCGTAGCCTTTCGCAATTAGAATAGAAAGAATGGGTTAGCACGAAAAATGGGAATAAGGGCGGGCGATGAAACTTGATGATTTTACGCAGGGCCCTGACCCTCATCTACACTCAGGAAAAATCAAAGAAAAGAAGCAAGTACATGTAGACAGTTGTGGAAACCAATCACAGACCAATCCCTAAATGGCCTTCAGCCTCAAACCAGTACGCAAAACGGCCCCAAAGTGCAAGAACACAAAACAACCACACCTAAGCGTTCGATCCCAAAACCTTGCTTACCTTTCCCTAACCTCAAACCCCAAACTCTGCAAATCCAGACCCCTACATGTCTTCACCCTAAACCCTCCATCGTCTACTGAACTACTTCCTTCTAAGACTAAACCTTGCACCCAAAGCCCAAGCCCTTACAACCCAAAATCGCTACTTCCTCTTTTCCTTGTTTTTGCTCAGCTCCGATGAACACTGATTGTATCTAAGCAAAGTCTACGTAATTAACACTGTGCAGCGCTTGTGGATTGCTATTGTTCTTGTTGGACCACTACTCATATGGCCATTCTTATCTGTTGCACGTGTGTGCGTTGTTGTTCTCATGCGGCAGACCTAACTTCGACCTTGATGCCCTTGAGAAGCGACATTGAAGAGGGTTTAGGGTTTAGGGGTTTAGGGTTTAGGGTTTAGGGTTTAGGGTTTAGGGTTTAGGGTTTAGGGTTTAGGGTTTAGGGTTCTGGGACTGCTGATGTTTTGTTTAATTCCAAGGCGAGTCCTTGCTCCCAGCTTTTGGGCTTGAAGATTTTGTTGATCTGCCCATCATCACCCTGCTCCGGAAGATTGTGGCAGAGCACACGAACCCTGAAAGGGCTTATGGTCCATATACCTTAAAGAGGAGTTATAGTAGTGTAGGGTATATAGCCCCCATTTCAGGGTTCATTTCGTCCGGAAGGATTGTGGCAGGAGGGAAGCACGGTAACGCCCAGTAACGCGGAAACCTCAGGGCACCCCAACACTTGCACTTTCCAGGAGAACCCTGGATCAGATCAGCCAGTGAACGTCAAGGGCCCGGGAGGCGGAACATGGTGGTACCAGGACCTGCGCACAGAAAGTTTAGGGTTTAGGGTTTAGGGTTTAGGGTCGTCTAGGAATTTTCGATTTGAGATTTGAAGCTTGCAGGTTTGTGTACCTACTGTACACCAATGAACCGCTGGACGGTTTTGCACTGCCGTCTTGTGTGCCCTCTAAACCCTGGCGTTTCCATCAGGTACTTGAGAGTTTATAGGGTCTAGGGTTTAGGGTTTAGGGTTTAGGGTTTATATAGGGTTTACGGGTAAGATGGAGTTTGGAGGGGCCTGGCTTCGGCAGCGAGCACGAACAAAAGGGCACCGACGATGGCCACAGCCCCGAGCATGCCACAATAGCAAAGAAAAACCCTAAACCCTAAACCCTAAACCCTAAACCGGCAGCATGTCATTGAACTCGTCCTTTTGGGTCATCAACTGCAAAGAACAACGATGAACAGCAAAGCTGTGAGGTTGTGTAAAAATCCATTGAAGAACTCGGTCCAGGAGAGGTCATGTTGGCACTCGAGAATCTAGCCCTGGCAAGGTCTAGACGGCGTGGTTCTCGTTGCCCTGGGCCGTAAACTGAGTAGGCCCTGGCGATGTGTCATGCTTTCCCTTTCCGGGTTCAAGAGGGATCATAGTCAGGAATATGCTTCGGAGGCTTTTACGGGCCATCCTTGAAAAAGCCCCAGGCGATTTTATAGCACCGGAACAAACCCTAAACCCTAAACCCTAAACCCTAAATCCTAAACCCTAAACCCTAAACCCTAAACCCTAAACCCTAAACCCTAAACCCTAAACCCTAAACCCTAAACCCTAAAACTAAACCCTAAACCCTAAACCCTAAACCCTAAACCCTAAACCCTAAACCCTAAACCCTAAACCCTAAACCCTAAACCCTAAAACCCTAAACCCTACACCCTAAACCCTAAACCCTAAACCCTACACCCTAAACCCTAAACCCTAAACCTAAACAGGAGAAGGCTTTGGTACCAGCCTTTGCGCTGCACGATGACTCGAGGATCTTCAACCCGCTTGGTGGCTCGGGTCGCGACGTCGAAGTTTCAGTGGAAGTGGTTTGGGGTTTAGGGCTTAGGGCTTAGGGTTTAGGGTTTAGGGTTTAGGGTTTAGGGTTTAGGGTTTCCGGAAGCACGACAAGGGGTCGCGTGAAATAGTTCCACCCGGGTAGCTCCGAAGTTGGTCAAAACTCAGGAGACGAGTTCGAAGGCGTCTCCTTCACGCGCTTTCCGATCACACAAGGCCTGTGCGAGTGTTGCAAGTGCACGTATATGACAGGGATGCAGGCATTCCCTGAGATTGCCAAGCACCGCTAGGATGATTGAGCTTGCCCTTTCGACTTTCTACCTTCCTTAATTTCAGAACTGCCCCAGAAATATGTGAGTTGAGGGTTGTAGGGTTTAGGGTTTAGGGTTTAGGGTTTAGGGTTTAGGGTTTAGGGTCCCTCTATTGAGGGACCATGCAAGCGAAAGAAGGATGGAAGGCTTGCATGCGTTGCAACAATGCCGATCTCATTTTTGTAATCAGTCTCAGGCCGAGGGTGGAGGCACGAGCACATACAGAGCTTACAGAATTTCGGAAACCCTAAACCCTAAGCCCTAAACCCTAAACCCTAAGCCCTAAACCCTAAACCCTAAACCCTCTGTGACTAGCGGCACCACCCTCAGCACCCTGCGTGGGCACAAACCAAGTCCAACTTTTCCTCTCGAGCATAAACGCTGCAGATCAAGAAGCACCGCCCCTAAACCCTAAAACCTAAACCCTAAACCCTAAACCCTAAACCCAGGATAAGCTGTGTGCCTCTGTGCCGGTGAGGCTCCCAACTCATCTTTCAAGGGTGGTATGGAGTACATCGGAGTACATCGGAGTACTGTGTTTAGGGTTTAGGGTTTAGGGTTTAGGGTTTAGGGTTTAGGGGTAGCTTTCGAAATCGTGGAACACCACCCTGAGGCAGTGCCTATGCGGAGTTCCGCGTCGTCCGCCTGGGCCGCACTCAGCCGATCCTGGGGCTGGCCGTCATGGAGGCCGCGTTGTTGTTCGGTGTGGAGGTGTTGGGGTTTGGGGGGTTTAGGGTTTAGGGTTTAGGGTTTAGGGTTTAGGAAGCCTTGACTATGAGGGTTTAGGAATAGGGCTTCGGATTAAGCGTGCACCCGAAGCAGTATTGTTCCGAAGCATTATTCGTTGAAAGGATGGGAATAGGGTCTGGGCTGTATTGAAATTTCTTGTGCGGCTAGGGGAACATAAGGTTCAGGACAAGGTTTAGTTTAAACCTTCAACGAATAGGGTTTACGTGAACAGGGCTTAGACTAAGGCCTGCAGAGACAAGAAGGAAGAAAGCAAAGCAAGAAAGAAAGAGACACTACGCCAAGAGAAGGAAACAAGAACAGAGCCATTGCTGCCGTTACTACAATGGCGGTTGCGCAACTACGAAAATTCTCCACCCTTGTCAGACCCCCCAAACCCTAAACCCTAAACGCCCTAAACCCTAAACCCTAAACCTTCGTCTCCCAACCCCCGCGACACCTTAAGCCTCATACAGGAGAAGGCCGGCAAGACGATTCTCACACGGATGGCAGTCATCGAGGGCCGAACTGCACGCAAGGTCGTCGCTTGGCTAAACCCTAAACCCTAAACTTTATGGCAGATGAAGACGATCTTTGGACAGCGGCTAGTGGCGAGTGTTCTGGAGCCATAGAAACCCTAGAGCCTAAACCCTAAGGACTAAAGCTCTATTTGTGTAGGTCTTTGGATCCAAGGCATCTCTGCTTTAGCAAGTTGCCCTTTGGCACTTCCGGCTGTGAAGGCGTAAGCCTTCAGCTAAGGGGCTCAAAGGTCCAAAGGTAGGGAAGTTCAGCACATCGCAACGTCAGCCATGCAAAGAGGTGGCAAGGAGGGTTTGGGGTTTAGGCATTCCAGAAAGCCGATTCTATAAACAAGCCAAAACCCTAAACCCTGAACCTTAAACTTGCGGCCTGGCACCATCAGGCTCCACTCTTGGGGTGGGGGGTGGGCATTGTTGTTTTTCCTCGGAGGTGAGTGGTCATAAGTATCGAGAACGGGCTTCGGATTGTCAATCAGGGAGAGGAGAGCCTCAGGTTTCGGGTTTAGGGTTTAGGGTTTAGGGTTTAGGGATCAAGAGAACTCGCTCCTCCCTATCCCAAGCGCCCATACATCCAACCCCGCCTGGGGCCACGGTGGGCCCCGACCTCGAAAGACGCCGGTGCAAGCCCTTCCCAGATCTTCCAAAGCCCCTTAACTAAGGAATATACCCTAATTTATACGAAGGATTCTTATTATGAATTAGGGTATATTCCTTAGTTAAGGGGTTTTGGAAGATCTGGGTTGGACCTGTTACCATGCGGAAAGCGCCAGCAGATAGCGTGGTTGTTGGTCCCTTTTTGGATCCCTAGGATAATACGGCACCTACTATGTAGAGTACCCCAAAAGGGATCATAGTTTTGACAACCGCCCATGTACATGCTTGAAGGACCTCTCGAAGCTGCCCGAAGAGGTGCCAGAAGAGGAGAAGGGCGAAGAGGGCGAGAAGCGCCTTGCTTGGACGGAAGTTCAGGACATTGGCACTAGACCGTAAGGACCAATTGAACCTTAAAAGGGTTTATGGTTCATATGCCTTAATAGCCTTAATAGGGATTACAGTAGCACAGGATATATGGCCCCAATTTTAGGGTTCATTTGGTTCCCAAAGGAGTCACTAGAGGAGCGGACAGAAGCACATGTTGCCTGAGGGCAGTATCGTCGGGCCTTTACTTCAAGCTACCCTGAAGCCCGGAATTCGCATGCCGTAAATCCTGAGGCCCTGCAAGGCCCAAGCGATCGATTAAGCCTTGCTCCATGAAACTCTGTACCCTAAGCCTAAGTGAATCCTTAGTCTCGCAGCTGAGGAAGGAGGCGACTGCGAAAGCCAAGAGGGTCAGCAAGAAGCGGGTGCGGCGGATGTTTTCAGAACGAGCAACATCCATTAACTAGGATAACTAGAACTTTGATTTATGGTTACAGAGGCATCATGAGCCATGTACAAAGAGGCCACTCGTCTCTGAAGCACTTCGCTAAGGCATTCAAAACCTTCTCCAAGAAAACCTGTGTCATTGCTGTCCAGCCTGTGCAGCCCCTCTACCCTATCGCTTCCTACTGTTGTGAGTCGGCATCGCAGTCGAACAGCAGCGAAATCGACTTCTCCCTCTTCGACGATGCCCCGAAGCCTAACGAGGCAGTGGTGCTCACCAGTTTCAAAGAAGCACAGCATAGACACGCAACCTTAAGGCGTGCAGGGGCGCGTGTTGTCTAGGCTTGAGTCAGCTTTCGCACTCTTCACGGCATCAGCACTGAATGTTTTACACGATTTCCGTGTCGAATCTGGTTTCGAGGGAGCATTGGCCTCCTTGTGCGGTTGAAACCGTGACGTTCTGAAATTTGGGGTTTCCGAAGTTAGGGTACCTTCTTGGGGTCCTTGTTATAAGGGGATCCTACTCTTTGCAAACTTTGGGGGTCTATACTAGGGTCCCCTATTTTCGTAAACCCCCAAACGGCAACAAGGTCCAGGCAAGTGACTGAGCATTGTCCTGATCGCTGGCTCTTGGTGTTCAGGGTTGAGGGTTTAGGGTTTAGGGTTTAGGGTTTAGGGTTTAGGGTTTAGGGTTTAGGGTCCAGGAGAGGCACCCGCCAGTGTGAGGCAGTGTAAGGTTTTGCGAGGAGGTCAAAACTTTAAAGCCCGAAGTCTTTTGGGGGCATCGGGCTTCCTGCTGGCTTTCTGCCGGCGAGAAGGATTTGAGGCTATTGTTTTTTCCAGCGCTGTGGGTTTACCCCTAAACCCTAAACCCTGATTAAACCCAAAGTTTGGGGCTCAGGCTTTCAGGGTGTTTTGGGCTAAGGACTTTTTTTGTTGAGGGGGGGGGGGGGGGGGGGGGGCGGGGCATAGCGCTTAAGATCCAGGAGTTCACTTAGCTCCTGGCTTGGCGTTTGCATCCCCAAAAGATTCGTACCCCACAGTTTAGGGTTCAGGATTTAAAAAAAAGAAAGGCTTACTTAGAGGTTCATGGTACTTATTAACCAATGATAACTGTACTTATAACCATATTAGGGCACTTCAGGGGCTTATAACGGCTTATGAGTGGGTTATAAGTACAGTTAGAGTTGGATAAAAAGAACCCCTAAACCCTAAACCCTAAACCCTAAACCCCTAAGTACAGTTAAAATTGGTTAATAAGTACCATGAACCTCCAAGTACGAGGCCCACGAACATGAGACCGGAAGGACGAAGAAGAGGCGGAGGAACCGGAAGAAAAGGAGGTAAAGGAGAAGAAACAAGGCCAGGGGTCTTCGGAGCTGTAGGGTTTAGGGGTTAGGATTTAGGGTTTAGGATTTAGGGTTTAGGGTTTAGGGTCTTTGGGTCTAGACTTTGGGGGGTTTGAGGGTTGAGCTGTGAGACTGAAGGGTTGCATTTTCCGGGAAGTCACTGACATTGTAGAGTGTAATGAAAGTAGGTGCACCTGCCCATTCCGATCCTTCGCATCTTGCAAATGTTGCTGTTGGCTGAGCGCAGTTGCCCTTACAACTTCAGCCGGGTTGGGAAGCCTAGGCCACAAACGGCTTAAGGATTGTAAGGTTAAGATTCTAAGATTCTACTACAAGCCCCGGCAGGTATCGGGGACTTCACAGCAGTCAACAAACGTCCATTATGTCCACTCGAAGCTGAAGACCATTCCATAGATGTCAAAAACAAAACAGTTTATCAGGCATCATGACATGCCCACGAGCTTCTGCTTCCGCCCATAAGGAAAATGTATTGATGGGATTGAGGGCTCCCCCCTACTCCACTCTGAGGGCTCAGCGCGTCCTACGACTCTAGACGAGTTCAGTTAAGGCTGGGACCTGGCAAAGCCCTATGGCGATCGCTGGCAGGAGGGAGCTGCGAGTTTGCACTCAGGAGCTTGTAGGAGTTAGTTGGCTTCAGGGCCTTTGCGGCCCAGTGGAAACCACTGAGGATGTGATCTGCTGCCAGATTCTGTGCCTTGGGCTTTGTTCATCCAGACGCCAAACCCCCACCCAAGCCTTCTTCGTGTGTGAAGCAGCCAAGCACAGGCACACGAGCAGGTATATAGCATGTGGCCCTGCGGTGCACCGGTTTCGCCGTCTTAAGCTCGTTCATGTTGCAATGACGTCTTGGTGCTGTGAACTGCTTTTGAGCACAGACCCTCACCACTGGCCCTGTTTGTCATTGTGCAGAACTACTGAATGGTTCTTGAAGCAGTTGTTGGTGACACGGCGGGGAGTGGAATGACCGTACTCAATGAAAGCGAGAAAGATTCTGACCTTGTTGCCGTCGCATGTCTTCTTTCGCGTGCGTGATGAGCAGCCTATTTCTGTGTGAATGGCCCTTCATGGCAAGACGACGCCAAGAACCTCGGTTCGTTGATTCCCCAAAATTTCTTGATTGCTATTGTCGCGCATCATCGGCCAGGCACGTCTAGAAAGCAACACGTCGCACACAGAGGTTTCGAAGAGAACGCCAGCAGGAATACTGGTAGCCACCCAAATGCTTCATACCGAGATGCATGTCGACATGCTATCGTGTCAAGAAGTTTTTCTTCAGCCCGACGAAACGCCGAAGCTCGCTTCTGGTGTTCTGTGGTGAAGGCATGGCACTCGAGCACATGTTCATGCCTCAATGAGCGCTGCGTCGCGTCGTGAACCACATCACAATCTATTTCGGGGATAGTCGGCAACGGCTTCATACTACTTGCCATTTGCGAAGGCATTCTCCTTGAATTGCCTCATGATCTCAGCGCTAGCATACTTGCTGGTCTGCATCGGGTGAAATTTGCCAGCGTCGTTTTGAACAAAAATGCTTCCACTTGACGAAGGAAGAACAAGATAGAAGAGGGGAGGGGGAGAGAGAGAGAGAGAGAGAGGAAAGCAGCGTGTGGCTCCATGGCGACGCACACAAGAATGTGCCACACTTCTTCGCGTGTGAAGCAAGCCACCGACACACCAGCAGCTATTTAGCGCATGTCCTTGCACTTGGCCACATGCTGCAATGACTTCGTGATGTTAGGGTTTAGGGTTGAGGGTTTAGGGTATAGGGTTTAGGGTTTAGGGTTTAGGATGGGGTTCAAGCTTTCGGCTCGCATGCTGCCTTTGAGACTCCTTTTGAAATATCTGCTTGCACTCTGAAGCAAGTCATATCCATGGAAGCTGAAAACCTAATTAAGCCCAGGGTTTAGGGTTAGGGTTTAGGGTTATGGTTTAGGGTTTAGGGTTTAGGGTTTAGGGCCCTCTCGGATGTAAGGATGCCGGGCGGCATCATTGCCTTCGGCCTCAATGGCGATTTCCAGGTCAGCATACCCGGGGATGTGCTGTTTGCCGAACCGAGGGCTCGGAAGACTTTCTAACCTGAATCGGGCCTTCGTTTGTTTTTTTTATTTCGTGCCAGGGCGGTGTAGCACTTTGAGTTTTGGGAAAGGATTTGCACTCGCGAACTAATCATAGGCCATAGGAGTGATCGAACGGAATGTGTCTTCGCAATGTAGAGATTTGGGAAATAAACCCTAAACCCTAAACCCTAAACCCCATGGGCATATTGCTTGCTTGTGTTGAAGAAAGCAGCCGGCACCGACAGAAGCTCGCAGCACAAGCGCCCTAAGCCCCAAACCATAAACCCTAAAACCTAAACCCTAAACCCTAAAAAGATAAACCTACGTAGGCACTGTAGGCCTTACAAGTTCAGTCAGCCATCCAAGAGGCGCCGATGGGCACGGCCTTCGACCTAAAACTCCCCGAGGGCACGCAGCTGCTTGGTTTCTTAAAGACACTTAGGGTTTAGGGTTCAGGGTTAGCGTTTAGGGTTTAGGCTTTTGCAGGTTCGGAGGTGTCGGGACCGTCGGAACAATGTTTTGAGGTAAGGGTGTGGGAGGTTGCCATTGCTGATGGACATTGAGCCGCTCTAACTTGCAGAACTGTTTCTTGGACCAGCTCTTCAAAACCAAAAGAACTTTCAATCCCAACGGCAGTCCTTTGGCTGACTCCTTTAAAGGCGTGTCACTGAAGAGGGCAACCACTTCATCTGGGAGGGCCTTTGAGACCAGCTGCTTCGAAGATCGCCTACAGTATGTGAACCTAAAGGCAGCAAGCTGAAGCGCAAAGCAAGTAGCGGGGACAAGGTGCGCAAGCGCTTGAGGCTTCAGAGTGTGCGCCGGCCATTAGCCCTGAGCCCACCCCTAAACCCTAAACCCTTAACCCCCTTGAAAGCTGAGGGTGTGGCTTGGTAGCAGCAGTTTGACCCCGCTAAGAAGCCAAACGGTCAAGGCATGCAAATGGCAGCTACAAGACTATGGGGTGTTCCGCCGTATACTACGAGTCCAGAATAGGGATTATTGTACCGCCAATTTTTACTGCCTCTTAAGGACTGTTAGTATAAGGGGGGAACCTCCCAAACTATAAGCGAAGCCACACCCCCTGCTGTGATCGCGAACGGTTGTTCGCGGCTGCAAGTGGAGTGTGTCCACAAAAACCCGAACAGTCGAAAAGTTGACTGGGTCACAAGCCTTGCGCGAAAACGCGAAAACGCGAAAAATCGAAAAGGTGGGAAAAGTACCGAAAAGTCCGAAAATTCGCCGAAAAACGAAAAGCCTAAAAGTCGAAAAGTTCCGAACAATCCCGAAACGTATGAAAAGTCGAAAGCATGAATAGTTTCGAACCGTCCTGAACGTTCCGGGCAGTCTAAAAGTCCCGAAATGTCCAAAAGCCGAAATGTCGAAAGGCCGAAAAGTTGGCAAAGCCTAGAAAATGTGAGAAGTGACGAAAAGTGTCTAAAAGTTGTAAGTTGAAGTGCCGGGAATCCAGCATTGTTTGGGCCCCTGGCCCGGAAAAGGCCTGAGTTTCACTGAGTAGGAATCATAGGGTTTGGGATGTGAGGTTCTTTTGTCAGTCTACTCGTACCTCAAAATTAACAGTCGCACTTGAAGACATTAAATTTGTGGCAGTTGGCCTTGAAGGTGCTCTGAACAACTAACTCGTTGGCCGTGCCCCTGAACACTCTAACTCTTCTTCACCCTCAACCCTCAATTTTCTTGATTCGATCCTTAACCCTTTCCAACATAATAGACGTTTAAAGCTCTGCGCCTTGACCCTGTAAACTCTTAACCTAGACTCTATGAACCCTGAACCTCTCAACCCCATAAGCTTTAAACTCTGAAGCGTTTGATCTCTACACTAATCTTGGGATGGGTGGCTTCTGAGTACTGGAACTCTTCCTAAATCTCAAGCCTTAACTTTCTTCCTTCCAGAATCTTTCTTGTAAACTCTTAACCTGGACTATTTGAATCCTGAACCTCTAAACCCCATAGGCTCTAAACTTCGAAGCACTTTTTTTGAGATCTGGGTTCAAGGGCCTGGACCCAGACCTTCCAAAACCCCTTAATTAAGGAATATACCCTAATTCATAATCAGGATCCTTAGTATAAATTAGGGTATATTCCTTAATTAAGGGGTTTTGGAAGATCTGGGGATCTAAAAACAATCGCCAAGTGGCTTCTCTGGATATATGTACGCTGGCCAGACACGTCGTTGAGGCCGTCGCAAGTAAGATCCACGTGGCGAAGCCTGCAAGGCCTTCTAAAATTCGTCGCGGCTATAGATTTATGATAGGACTGGTTTAGGAAGTGTGTGTGTGTGTGTGTGTGTGTGTGTCGTCGGGAGGGCTTGGGGGGGGGGGGGGGGAGGAGCCCGAAAAGTCCGAAAAATCGAGAAGTGCAGAAAAATCTTGAAAAGTGCACAAGCCCCGAAAAGTCCAAAAGCCTCGAAAAGTCGAAAAGTCCCGAAAAGTCCCGACGAGACCAGAAAAGTCGAAAAGTCGACAGCTTTTCGACTTTTCGACTTTTCCTTTTTTTCTAGAGTGTCTTCGGTTATAAGCGCGCAAGCTTGCGAGCTTAGCCGGCCTTAGTCACCGCAACCTCAAACCCTGGAGGCTTTGCCTCGTGGCAGCAGCTGGCGAGAACGGGCGTCTTCGGGTGAACCTCGGTGCCCCGGACAAGCAAGGTATGTCTATGAGTCTATGGGCAAGTGCTTAGGATCTACGGTTTTGTTCCAGTCCTTTCTGAACATCTGGTCATACATAGAAAAGTCCTAGGAGGTGATGATCTTGTCATCATACTTGAGACTGTACCTGTTGATCGGCCTGCCTAGAGTACGGGAGTCCGGTCAGTAGCTAGTTCTTGGGTTTGGCCGGGATTCTGCAGACGTCTTGCAGCATAGTGCCAAGACCTTCTTCAGCATGAAGCAAACCAGGGACTACTTTAGGCCCTTCCTCCCCTTGTTTCGGTCCCTTTAGAAGCCCTTCAAGCCATAAAGAGCACCCTTGTTCTAGGCCACTCTTGGGTCTAGGTCTAGGTTTAGGGTGAAGTGCTTGCGATCTCCATTATGAAGCCCAGGGTTTAGGGTGCGCTTTTCAATCTGAAGGTTCAATAGTCCATGATGCTCATGAGGGGCAGCCTGGAAGACGTGACAGGCACAGGAAAAATCGCCAGAGCCAATTGCGCATGACGGGCGAGCACTTGGAAGACGTGGACACTGCACGAGGTACCAGACAAATAATCGCCGGACAAAGCAGATTCAATGACGTTTCAGTGCGGGCGCAGAAGGGGGGAAAAACACGGCGCATCACGTATCGGCGTTTCAGCCGGGCAGAGGGGAGGGTGGCAAGGGATCGGCGGAACGGCGTGCTGGTGTCGGTTACCGCCCCCTTCGCATCCACGCTGGTACGTAGGATGCTGGTTCCCAGGAATGCCCAGACGTCGTTTCAGAGCAGGGATGCTAGGTATTGGAGCCTTGTTCATGCCAGGATCCCTCAAACCCTGACCCTTAGGCATTCTTTTTACTAAGATGCTATGGGTTTAGGGTTTAGGGTTTAGGGTTTAGGGTTTAGGGTTTAAAAGTTTTAAACCCTAAACCCTATGCACAGGAACTGTGGCCTTCTCCTTCCCTCCACCGCAGAAGCTGGAAGCACTGCTTCCGGATATCGATGACGACGAGGAGGAGGAGTCACCAAAAGAGAAAGAAGAAGGCGGGCACCCCAAAGACGTAAATCCTGCACAGGCCCCCAATGCAAAGCCGAACTGCCAAAACTCCACACCAACACGAAAGTCCTAAACCACAACGCCGTAGGCGGGCTCGGCCACCGTGGTATTTTCAGGGGATGGCAGTGAGGTCTCTTGCCCTATAAGCCCTAAAACAACTTGCGATTTTTTTTTTTTTGGGGGGGGGGGGGGGGGGGGGGGGGGGGGTTTTCTCGGAGTCCCTTCGTGCAGCTTGCCAAAGTGACAGTAGTCACGAACACGGACGCTTCGTGCATGAGGCCCGCGAACGCGAAAGCTGCATCGTCTTGAGAGTGCGAGACACGATGCACCCTAAACCCTAAACCCTAAACCCTTACCGGGTTTTTTCTGGGCTACCAACACAGGGCTGGCCACTCGAAAGCCTCAGATTTCATACGCGCGAAGGCGAGGGTGGCCCTGAAACCTGAACATCCGTGCTGACTGGCCAACCCTCAGCCCTTCAATTTCAGAGCCGTTTCGGGGCTTAGGGTGCTTCATGGTGGTTCCTGGAGGACCAAATGAACCCTAAAAGGGTTTATGGTTCATATACCCTGATAGGAATTATCGTAGTATAGGGCATATGACCCCCAATTTTGTTGGTTCATTTCGTCCCCAAGGTTCTGATCGGGGTGAGGAAGGATGGTACGTTTGTGGGCAGAAGGAGGCTTGTGGTCTCGGGGAGGAATTGACTGTAGCCTCTGGTTGTGTGTTGACATGGCTCGAAGTACTTTTGTTGACTTAAAGCTGTCAGCGCCTCTGCTTTGTCATTAGACTTTTTTCAAGCGACATGCTTGGGCGGCTTCGCACGAGCGCGCAGCGCTCCCGGCTTCGTATTCCTGGCCTTGCAGTGCCGACGCGCGGCGCGGCATCTCGAACAGAGCTTGTGGAAGAGTTGGCGGCGGCTGTTGAGCACAACCCTGCGGTCGCACCGCACATTGCAGGCCTCCTAGATGACACCACGGCGGAAAAGGTCGCCAAAGTCCTCGAAACTTTTGCCTCTGAATCTGAGACGACACCTACCAAGCCCCAGCTGAAGATGGTGGCGCTTGCTGCGGCAATCCCTTTCTTTGGCTTTGGGGTCTTGGACAACGCCATCATGATTCTCCTCGGGGAGGTCATAGATGCAACGCTTTGCGTGCAATTTGGGCTGTCCACGATGGCCGCGGCCGCTCTGGGCAATACCTTCTCAGACGCTGTCGGGGTGTTCTCCGGCACCTTGGTGGAAGAGATGGCTGCCAAGTATGGGGTAGAGGCACCGAAGTTAACCCGAATCCAAGAGGGCATGGCGGTCACAAAGAACTACGAGCGTGTGGGCCAGCTGGTCGGCATTTGCATCGGCTGCCTGGTGGGGATGTTCCCGCTGCTTTTTATGGACCACAGCGAGGTCCGGAAGAGGGAGAAGGCCTTGGATGAGATGTTTGATGTTGTGGTCGACAGTGTGACGAAGCTGCTCGACTGCGAGGCCGCCCTGCTCTTTCACGTCGACTACGAGAAAGGGCACCTGTACCCCCGGTCATCTTCCGACCACATGCTGAAGGATAGTCTGCGCATCGGCGAAGGGGTCGCCGGCCGGGTAGCTGCTACTGGCCACTTCATGAACGTCGACGACCTGAGAAAGACGGAGTTGTACAACCCCAAGCGGCATGACAACTACTTTGGAACCTTGGGGACGAAATGAACCCTAAAATTGGGGGTCATATGCCCTATACTACTAGAACTCCTATTAAGGTATATGAACCATAAACCCTTTTAGGGTTCATTTGGTCCTCCAGGAACTGGTGTAAACGTCCGCTCCGTGCTCTGCATGCCGGTGATTGGCGTGGATCCAGCAGATCAAGCCACCAAGGTCCTTCGAACCCTGCACCTCATGCCTCATGCACCCTAATCCTGCATCCTCCACTTCTGACCCAGACCCTCAAGACCTTATTCACCTGAGTTGTGCTTTTAGTTGCATATATTGTTTTTCTTGTTTATCGGTTCTGTGCCTGCGCAGCATGGGTCACCAGCAAACACAAAAAAACTTACAACTGCTGCACAGAGGCTGCAAGGGCGCATGTGGATCTGCAGGTGTTGATGCACAGGTGGGGTGTCGTGCGCGGGAGCTATACCTACCTGATAGTTTATCCGTGCTTCGCGCTGTTTTTTCGTCGCTGTGTGTTGCAATGCTCATGCTATGCCATCACCACCTAAATGCCAGCACTCATTCATGCTACGATGCTACGACATCCACCCTTCAATCTCGGTGCCTCACTGTTGGCCACTGCACTTCAGATAAGCTGGTCGAAATCGTGCCAGGAATCTAGCAACAAGGTAGCTAACACAAACCAGGGTGCAGAACTGCACCCTAAACCCTACAAGCCCTAAACCCTAAGCCCTAAACCAGGGGGCACAACTCTTGGGAGGGCTGTGCGCAAAGGTGCATGACTCACTTTGTCTGTGTGGCGCAGGCTCTTGCGCAAGTCCCGAAGCCTGAAGCCCAAGGTCCTTGGAGTGCTGCAGGTCATCAACAAGCGTGGTACCGACGGCCATGGCTTCCTTGACCGCGATGAGGATGTTTGGCTGAACGGCTGGTATCAACACAAACAAATGCCATCCTAATCCATCCCATCCCCTAAAGCCCAGAAGAGAACTTTGGCAACTGCCAATGATCTCACAGGGCTGCCGCCTACACCGGCTACGCCCCAAAGCAGACAAGCACTTAGGTATGTGTGCAAGGTGGAGGGATCGCTTTGGCTTGGGAGAGGGGGGGGGGGGGGTACAAAGAAAATTATCTTATTAGTCTGCTTCGTATGGGACTTCAACTAGCGCGCCCGAGTACGCGTGGAGAGGCAACAGAAGACATCCTCCTTTCAATCATCCCTCTTGGTTCCCACGCTTTCTTCCGTCTTCTCCAAGTTTTCTCGCAAATGAGAGGCAAGTGGAAGAGGAAGAACGAGGCCGAACAAGGTGCAGATCAAGGAAAGGATCCCTCAACCCATTATTCAGCACCAACTGTCTGATCTTCAGTGCAAGCATTGCACACTCATCCTTGGAAAGGTATCCCGCGCTGATTGAAGTTAAGGGTACCTTTGGAAGTCAGTCATTGAAAAGTTACATCCCCGCGGCCCGTCAGCCCGGAGTGATTTAAGCATGTTTTTAGACATCTGTGACATCGGTCTTCGGAATCTTTGAAATGTTCAGCCCTCCACTGACAGGGAATCGAAAGATTTCCCAAGTAGACCCCAAAGGAACGCGGGCTGGGGAGGAAGTGCCCCAGTGGATTTCCAACAACGCATGGCCTGTGCGTTGGGGTGGGGGGGTGTTAGAGGTGTTGCGGCGGGATCAAGAGGGAGAGTTAGGGAGTGTTCCTACCATTTGTTGAAGCTGAGTGGTTCAACCTGGGGCATCTGTACGGACAATGGTACAAAGGAGGGGCTGTGCTAGCCTTTGAAATGCCAGCTCTAGCTTGGCGCGCTCCCGCTGGTGGGGTCGGCGGATATTTTGGCTTCCGCATACGGGCATTTCCCCAAATAGGGGCACCCCTTTTTATCCCCCAAACAGAAAAGAATCCCCTTAATACCCTTATTTCCAGAAACCCCCATATCCACTTGATGAGGATGTCTGCGCAGCTCTCTGCTCGCAGATCTCGACCAGCCTGTCCACGGCCTATGGCCTCTCCTCTAGCTTTCGGCACGCTCTAGAGTCCGGGCTCCACGCAAGTCATTTTCTGTTGATTTGTAGGGTTGGGGGCTTTGCAATAGACATGTTGCTGCTGGTCAACAACCCACAAAACGAATGGGCAAGAAAGAAACATGAATGCACCTAAACCCTAAACCCTAAAAATCCTAAAACCCTAAACCCTAAAATGGCCCTAAACCCTAAACCCTAAACCCCAAACAAGGTTCCCAGATCATCCAAGGAGAGATACGACCGGGCCCTGAACATGCCTGGGGTACGCCTCAACCCTGCGCAAGACGCGCGGCTGGAGAACATGTACCTTGGGGGCCACATGAATCCTAAAAGGGTTCAGAGCTCATGTACCTTAATAGGAATTAGAGTAGTATAGGGTATATAAATCCATTTTAAAGGGTTTATGGTCCATATACCTTGATGGGAATTTTGGTGGCATAGGGTATATAATCCCCATTTTAGGCTTCAAATCGTCCCCGAGGTATGAGGAGGTCATGCATGACTGCACTGAGGCTGGCAGGGTGAACGGCTTCAGGGACAGCCCCTAAACTTAGAATAGGGTTTAGGGTTTAGGGGTTAGGGTTTAGGGTTTAGTTGCAAAAGGGTTTAGGGTTTAGGGTTCAGGGTTCAGGGTTCAGGGTTTAGGGTTTTAGGGTGTTAGGGTGTAGGGTTTGAGCGACGAGCTCGACCAGGCGCGCTGAGACAAGCCTGTGCAAAAGGGTTTAGGGTTTAGGGTTTAGGGTTTAGGGCACTGGCATCTCCAGAAACAATTAATGTATCAGAATTTCATGGTTTTTGTCATCATCATTTCCGACAGAAAATCATCACACTTCACATCATCCCGGTCTTGGTCATCAGAAATTCATCATCGGCTCGGTTGTTGACAACCATGTGTTGGGCACAAGGTCCATGAGATCTCAGGCTCCGAGTGTACATAAGTTCATGCGTGTGTGTACACACACACACACGCGCGCGCGACGCCTAAACTTGACATACGCACCTTTTTTCGCCAGGTGCTGCATGCCTCAGCAACCCTTTTACTGGTGGCAGATAAAGGTCACACGGAGGACCTGATCCTGAAGGTCAGCAACTGGTCGCACACTCGTTACATTTTAGGGTTTAGGGTTTAGGGTTTAGGCTTAGGGTTTAGGGTTTAGGGTTTAGGGTTTAGGGTTTAGGGTTTAGGGTTTAGGGTTTAGGGTTTAGGGTTTAGGGCGGCTCCGGATGTCCAGAAGCCCACGAGAAGCCTCGAGAAAGTGCGGGGAGCTGAGGTGACAAGATACCATTTTGCCGCACCTCC